GAAAGGAAAGGCAGGAATCGATAATCACAGGAAACCAACAATGTCCACGACACACGTTACAGCAGTACTTTGCAAAACATGGAAAGTCCCTAAACACAAAATGATGATGATGGTTATGTCAGCCTACCTACCGTCAACATAGGTTTCGACACTTTCTGGCTGCCATTTGGAAAAGAGTGGTTTGGTTTCTTGTCCATTCAGCTAGCATTTAAGGCTTCCAGCTGAATGATCTAATTCATTCATCCTATTTGACTGGCCCCATAACAGGAAGCAAGTAAAGTGTTCCAGGTGACCAAATAGCCCACTTACAAAAACAGAATACATGAAAAAAACAAATAATCCCTCCCTTTCCTTCCTCCCAACTAAGCCACTTTCAATGCACAAAAGGGCGGTGCCGAAATAAACCCAAACTCTGTTTAAATGGAAAGAAAGATATTCCAAAGTCTGTTTAATAACAAGGAAAAGTCCTGGATTCTTATTAGAAATGGCCTCGTTTTCAGTGTGGAGCTGATGTTCTTAGGAATTTTTAGAACTGGGTTCTCCCTGGGAATAGATGTGAAAACTGCGTGGCAGGATCGTGTGGCGTGTAGACAGCTTCACGGGAGTAGTGAAGGCTCCCCCAGAACACTAATCCGCTTGTGCGTAATCCACTGCGGTGTTCCGCGTGGCCTACATAGGGGAGGATAATTTGTAATGCCGGAAACTACTCGCTAGATGTATAGACCTGGGACAAAACAGAGTGGCACTTGTATTTTCCTTTGGGGAATGACACCTTCCCTCTATCCTCATGTGAGGCCCAGCCTGTGACACAGGACTGTCTTCCACCCTCAGCAGCACAGTAACCGGTTCAAATGTGAGCGTATGGCCCACTGAGGTTCTGTGAGACTCAACCTGGCACTTTTGGGGGGACTATTAGAAGTTGTAGAGCTATTAGAATAAAAGATCCTGGATTTCTCTGCTATATACCAACCGGTCAAACCTCCTTTATGCTGAAGTGGAATGAGTAGCATTTCTGTCACTTGCAACTTGTGGAGATCTAGCTTATACAGAAGCAAAAGGTACCAGGATCTTGACTTCTAAAGAGAAGAAACAGACACTCATGACGATAAGAAGGAATCTGTTTTATGTTCACAACTGTCTCTCCACCTCCAGGGATACCTCTGTGTTCTCCAGTTCAACTTACAAAATGAATTATCCTCAAAAAGAGGTAATAAAACTGCAAAATGCTATGGTTGCTATGTGCCAAGCCCTTTGCTGGTTTCCTTGCATACGGTAGCTCTTAATCCTCACACAAATTACCAGACTGCTTTTACACGTGAAGACAATTAGGCTTGGAGTGGACCCGTGTGCCGTGCTTCCCACAGTGCTGTGTGGGACTGTCAGAGTAGCTAGCCTGAGGCTCGAGAAGCACCCGTCCCAGTCTCTCAGGTCTCCACCTGAGCCCTCAGAGGAGAGTGGCCAGCAGATGTCTTAGAGATTGTTCAGTGCTTCATCCAGACAACCATCCCAGCAATGAATAAGAAAGCCTTCCCTTTTTGCTCCACCATGCTTACTCATTAGAGGTCTTATCTGAAACTCTGCAAGACTGAATTTTAAGGAACAACAACATATAACACAAAATTCCATTGGGATGACCTTGCCTGGGAAGGATTTGAACTTGAGGTTATCCTCATACCAGTAAGGTCAGCCTAAGAACTGCTGACCTTCTTATTCTGCTAATGCTTACAAGATGTCTCTGATTTTCAAATTTATTGAAGTATAATTTATAAGCAATAAAATGCATGATCTTTGACATGTAAACACTAATGTGAATAACCCACAAATGAAGATATAGAACACTTAGATTTTAGAGAACCCAGAGATTTCTCATGCCCCTTTGTGGCTAATTCCAACATGCACACACACACACAAACACACACATATACTCCTCTACTCTCATCCCAGGAAGCCATTTTTCTGATTTCTATGACAATAGATTACGTTATCTGTTCTAGAACTTCGTATGATTAGAATCATACAGTATATACTTAATTTGTGTCTGGCTTCTTTCGCTTCAGGCAATTTTGCTAAGATCCTTTCATGTTGCAATATGTGCTAGTAGCTTATTCCATCTTATTTCTGAATAGTGTTCCATTGTGGAAATATAACACAAATTATTTATCTATCCACCAGCTGATGGATATTTGTGATGTTTCCAGTGGAGCTATTATGAATAATGCTCTTATGTATTTTCATGTATAAGTCATTTACATGATATACATTTTCATGTCCTAGGCATTAAAATATTGGATCATATGTTAAGTGTATGTTTAACTCTATGAGACTTGTGTAGTTTTTTCAACTCTTTTTGTCTTTTTTCACTCTCCCTCTTCTTGTGTGTGAGTTTTGTTTTTTCTCTATCTTCTTCTCCATTTTGATTTTGTGTTTTTTTGTTTTTTTCTCTGGGCATTTTCATAGAGTGATATTAAATCGGTCATTTTCCTGATGATCAATGAAGATGCTTACTGACCATTGTATATCTTCTTTTGTGAAGCATTGGTTAAATTCTTTGATGCATTTTAAAATTGGGTTGTCTTTCTTCTTATTGAGTTATAAGAGTTTTATATTCTGGATACAAATTCTTTGAAAGATATGGGTATTAGGAATATTTTGTCTCAATCTGTGATTTGTCTTTTCAGTTTCTTAAAGGTATCTTTTAAAGAGTAAACATTCTGACTTGTTATGAAGTTCAATTTGTCATTTTTTTCTTACATGGTTTATGTTCTTTTGTGTTTTAGTAAGCAGTATTTACGTACCAGAAGTTTTATAGTTTCACTTTTACACTTAGGTCTATGCTTCCTTTTGAGAAAGTTTTTGTGTGTTATAAGACAAAGGTTGAAGTTCATTTTACTTCCAAATGGATATCCAGTTATTTCTAGTACCATTTGTTGGAAAGACTCCTTTGCCCCATTAAATTGCCTTAACGCCTTTGTCAAAAGTCAATTGACCATATATGTATAAGTCTATTTTTGAATTTTATTTTGTTCCATTAATCTGTATGTCTGTTCTTATGCCAATATCACACTGACTTGATTACTAAAGTTTTATAAGAGGTCTTGAATTTAGGTAGTGTAATTCCTCCAATTGTGTGTGTGTGTGTGTTTCAAAATTGTTTTAGCAATTCTAGGTCCTTTGCTTTTCCACATATATTATAGAATCATCTTTTCAATTTCTACACAAAAGTTGCTGGGATTATGATTGAAATTGCATTGAACTTGCAATAACTGACATCTTAATATGGAATCTTTTAATCCATGAATATGGTATATCTCTCTATTTATTAAGATCTACTATAATATCTATCAAAAACATTTTGTATTTTTGTATATTTTGCATATTTTAAGTGTAGAGTTCTTTAAAATTTTCTAAATGTATTACTAAATATTTTATTCTTTTTGGTGCTACTATGAATAACTATTTTATTTTCAGTTATGTGTTGCTAGTATATAGAAACCTAACTAATTTTTATTTACTGACTTTGTATCTTGTGACCTTGCTAAATTCCCTTATTATTTCTAGCAGTGCTTAGAATTTTCTATGTAAGCAATCATGTCTGCACACTGTGTACTTGTCCCCTTCAAAATCCATGCTTTTTATTATTATTTTTTCTTGTCCTATTGTATTGGCTAGGACTTCTGATATAATATTAAATAGAAGTGGGGAGAGAAGATATCTTTGCCTTAGTCCCAATCTTAGGTGGAAAATATTCAGTATGTCTCCATTGAGTATGCTGTTACCTTTAGGTTTTTCATAACTGCCTTTAATGAAATTGAGGAAGTTTCCTTTTATTCCTAGTTTGCTAAAAGTTTTCTTCATGAATGGGGTTGAATTTTGTCAATTACTTTTTCTTCATCTATGAAGATGATCCTGTGATTTTTTCCCCCATTATTCTGTTAATGTGGTGAATTACATAAACTAATTTTCAAACGTTGCTTGCGTTTCTGAGATAAACTACTTGGGCATGATATATTCTTCCATATTATATATTTTCTGGATTTGTTTTGCTAAAATTTTGTTCAGGGATTTTTGTTTATATTCATGAGGGATGTTGATTTGTCAGGCTTTTAAATTCAGGATTATGCTAGTCTCAAAAAAGGAATTGAGAAGTATTTCATTCTATATTGTCTGAGTTTGTGTAAACTCGATATTACTTCTTTCTTAAATATTTTATAAGAATTTGATAGAATTCACCAGCAAACCCATCTGGGCCTAGACTTGTCTTTGTGGGAAGGATTCTTTTTTAATTACAAAACTGATTTTTAAAACATATACCAAAGCATGCAAATTATCTATTTTTTATGTAAATTTTGATAAGTTGTGTTTTTCAAAGATTTTTCCATTTCATCTCAATTATTGACTTTATCAGTATAAATCTGTTCATAAGATTTACTTATCCTCTTGATAGCTATAGGACATGAAATGGTATGTCCTCTTTTATTTATCACATTAGTAATTTTTTCTTAGTCTTGTTAGAGATTTATCAATTTTATTAATCTTTTCAAAGATAACTTTTATCTGGTCATAGTACCCAACTCACTTTTGGTTTTTAAAATTTTTTGTATTATTTATCTATTTTTTATTTTATTAATTTATGTTATTTATTACTTCTTTCATTTTACTTATATTGGGTTAATTTGCTCTTTTTTAAGCTTCTTAATGTTTAAACCTTTCTACTATTTTAATATATGCATTTAAAATTATATGTTTTCCTCTAAAAAGTGACTTGGCCCCATCCTCCATATTTTGATATGCTGTTTTCATTATTATTCACTTAGAAATATATTTTAATTTCCCTGTAGTCTCTTTGACTTATAGGTTTTTTAAAAGTGTATTATTTAATTTCTATATATTTGGGGATTTTCTAACATTTCATTGATTTCTATTTTAGCTTTATTACAATTATATAGCATACTTTGAAAGGTTAACTATTTAAGTTTAATAAAACTTATTTTTTTGCCTAGGATATGATCTATCTTGGTGAAATTCCATGAGACCTGAAAAGAATATTTATTCTACAATTGTTGGGAAAATACCATTTCAGTCATGTCAGTTGATAGTCTTGTTCAGATCATCTATCAATTAATGCTCTCATTAAGGTATGTTAAAAGTGTATAATTATGATTATGGATTTGTTTATTTTTGTCTTTAGTTTTATCAGTTTTTGTTTCATGTATTCTGAAGCTTTGTTATTCTGGTATATAAAATTTAGCATTATTATATTTTCCCGATAAATGTGCCTTTTATCACTGTGAAATGTCCAATTGCTGTGACTATCTATAGCAGTAGTTTTTGTCTTGCCATCAATTTTGGCTGAGATTAACATAACCATGCCTTTCATCTGCTTACTGTCTGCATGTAAATCTTTTTTTCATCCTTTTGCTGCCAATCTATCTGCATCTCTATATCTGATATCTGACATGTATCTCTTTTAGGCAGCGAATCATTAGGCCTTGCTTTATTACCAAAACTAAGAATGGCTGAATTGCCATTTCTCAATGGGCTGCTGTTCTTCTTCCCATAGAAGAGAAATATTCTTCAGTGGTCAATATCTCCACTAAAACAGGAAGACAAAATGTAGATAAGAAAGTTGTGAGCTTAAAGATAAATAAGAGAGGACATACTCCCAGTTCACCTCACACATTAGATGGCCCTAATAGCTATTTGAGTTTTTAATTCCTACAGTAGTAAATATCTACTGCAGTAAAGTTCTGTTTGAGATTAATTTTAAAAGGAGAGGATAGTTTCAGCCTAAGCATAGGCATTTTCTTATACAAATAGCTCTGCTCTCCCTGCAAATACATTTTTAAAGAGATTGCTAATCTATACAGTGTTTAAATAATGAATATATGCTCATGAATGAAAAGATAACTTTGATCTGGTCATAGTACCCAACTAGAAGAATGTTCTGATCTATTAAAAACATGCCTCCATAAATTAAATAAAGTAGTTGAGCCAATAGTTATTTCTCATCTTTTCTGCCTTGACTTTTGATGGACATAGAACAATGAGAGATAAATTCCCACTTTGACATAACAGTTTGGGAGAGAAAGACAAATATGAAAAGTTTCTTCTGCCAAAATGAACAGAGGCTGGGAGAGACATTCTAAAAGTTCCATACCTTAGTCCCAGGCTGGTGACAACAGTGGTTCATGCAGGTTGAATATCTCTTAACTGAAATGCTTGAGATCAGAAATGTTTTGGATTTGGGATTTTTTTCAGATTTGGGGATATTTGCATATATACAATGAGATATCTTGGGGATGGGACTCAAATCTAAATACAAAACTCATTTATGTTTCATATACACCTTACACAGTTAGCCTCAAGGTAATTTTATACAATGTTTTAAAAATAATTTTGTGCATGAAACAAAGTTTTTATGCATTAAATCATCAGAAAGCAAAGGGGTCACTGTCTCATGTCAGGGCTCAAAAAGTTTCAGATTTTGGAGTTTTTTGGATCAGGGATGCCCAACCTGTGTTAGCTCCTCACTGTGTGGAGGGTGTCTTAAGACTCAACCATATTCCTTCTGTTCTCTCTAGGAAGGGCAAGATGAAGGCCCGCACAGCTGGGCCATTGCTGAGAAGCACCATGCGGAGGTTGGTTGCTTTATAAGATTGCTCCAACGTCCTGTGAAATGAAATTCAGCATGTATTACCAGGGCCGTAACACAAAATCTTCTAATCTTCCAGGTGCTGCTACCCCTGGGGCTTCACCTCTCTGGACGACCTTGGAGGGTGATGGTGGTTCCGAGGCTGTGACGGAAGTTGCGCCCCACTCCACTTGAACCCATCCCCCAAGAATGGCCACAACCATGCTGCATTCATCTTCTCAGTGGCTGCTTCCTTGGGCCTTGAATCTGAGGCTTTCTGCATCCTGTCAGCATTTAGACTTTCTAATTACTTTTCTAAAATAAAGGCTGAGTCAGAGGACCTCTCTTTCCTCTACATTTCCTTCCAGCAGCAATTTTCCATAAATCCTCAAGAGGAGAGAAGGCTATCTCACCTCTGTCCTTAGATTCTATTCTCTACGCAGGGCAATGCTTGTACATTTTGCACAGTTCCCTACAGGTTTTTTGCCCATCTTTTCTGTTAGTTTGTTCATTCTGAGGGTGTGGAGGAAAGGGACTAGGCTAAGCTGGCTTTCAGACTGGAGAGAATACTTCTCCCTCATGGTGAAATTGCAGAGCGTGTGAGCGAGGGAGTGAGCAGGAGGAAGGGGAAGAGATAGATGGTTGATGGAACCTTGGAACTGGTGAGGTTGAAGGTCACCAGCCCGAAGGCTCAAGAGGTTTGAGTCCTTCCTCTGCACCTAACAGGAGTGACAGCGGAAAAATCAATGGACCACTTTGGGTCTTGGGTTCCACCTGTAAAATAAGAGAGTGACACTGGGAAGATTCTATGGTTCCTCACATATAGGTCTCTCCACATAGATTATGAGCAGCTTAAGTAAGGCTGTCATTTCGACATCTTCATAGTCATGGTGCCCAGTGCAGGGTCTGAAACATAATCACATCAGTTGGGCATGGATTTGTCTGCAAGTAACAGAAGCCCACTAACAGCTTTTAATAGGTATATTTTTCCCTATTACAAGAATACTAGAGCCATGCTGATATTGGTTAAGGTACTCAGTGGGGGCTTTGAGGAGCTAGGTTCTTTTCATCTTCCCTTCCATCATCCTGGGCATGTTGGCCTTATGTTCTCATTTTCATCAACTCATGGTCCCAAGGTAGCTGCCACATTGCCAGGCATCACACCCACATTCCAGGCAAAAGGAAAGGGAAAGGCCCCAGTCATTTCTGTCCCTTTTATAAAGAAAGGAAAAGCTTTCCCTGAAGTCACATCAGGTTATGTCTCATTGGCCATAACTGTGTCACAGGACCACTGCAGATGAAAGGGATTTCTGGTGACAGCAGGTGTCTAGCTTTTTAGCTCCCAGAGAAGGAGGCTGCAAGAAGCAGGGTAGATACTGCCATTGGTCCCACTGAATGTTTGTTAAATAAACATGGTTGGAAAATAAGCTGTAAAGGGCTTCTCTTTTCTTAAATAGAGTGTACTAGGCAATTATTCCAAGGAAATAAACATTAAATTGGATATGCTTTTACGTGACCCACACAACGATCTTGATTTTATACAGCAAACCAGGAATGGTCCAGGTCATCTCGCAGGCCTGGGGAAGAGAGTAGAGCTAGAGGTCGCTTCCAAGTCTGTGAGGAGCTCAGCACGGAGGGGTTTCACTTTGGTGTTTTCCCCAGGGACTGTTTCATGCACACTCACTTTCAGATCAGAAAAGACATTTCTTCTGTGTTTTCCTGTTGGTCGTGTTCTTCCTGGGGCCAGCCAAGTGTAACCAGTTGAGAAATTCCTGGTTCGGACTGGTGTTCATTGCCTTCTTCTCCGCACATGTGGTCCCAACGTCTACATGGGTGCCACATCCACGGTGAAAGAGTGTCCCGTCCGAAATGTGGCATGGAGCAGAACGCGACATCTCTCCTTCACTAAGGAGCAGACCTGTGAATACGAATGAAAAGCTTCATATAAATTGCTCAGCAACTGGCTGGCACACAGGGGCACTTAATAAATGTTAGTTGTTATTTTATTTCTATTCGTAAGAATGATGCTTCTTTTCTTCCTGCCCACCTTGTCTAGGAGGATCTACTTTTTCCGATATTACCTAGATGTGTAATCCAAGATTGAACTGTGCAGTTCCCTGGTTCCACTTTAACTCCACAGGGCATGTCTGGGAGAACTCCAGGCAGGCAAGACATACTTGAAGTTTTATCGGGCGTGTTCAAAGTTCTCTGATTGGGTAAACTGCTATCACATAAAACATGGCTTTCTAAGGAAATAACCTGAGACCCTAATTGTTTACTTTCAGAAATTTTCTCCTCATGGTAACCACTCTATTTCCTGGTAGAATTTAATTCCATCAGTTTTCTGAACATAGTGAAAAGGGAGCCATTGACAACTGGTATTCCTGCAGAAAGGTACAAAGTTCCCTAGCTGAGAAGTCTTCTACACAGATAGGAGGGCTTTCGAACGCATTTCCTAATGCTACTTCACAACGCTCACTTGACTTTCTGGTATGTTGTACATTAACAGACATGAAAAGAATAAAAGGTCAATAGTGCATTGTCTCACTTGCAAGGTAGTCACTGAGTTACAGAGATAACTATAAAAGGTGGACTCATCTGGACTAGTGTCTAACTTTTCTTTCATCTCCCCATTATGTTGAGTGGTAGTGAAGTGTAATGATTAAGAGGCCAGGCTTAGCAATCAGAGTCCTAGGTTTATGTTTTTTTTTCTTTTTCCTTTTTTTTAAATTTTAGCGTATTATGGGGGTACAAGTGTTGAGGTTACGTATATTGCCCATGCCCCCCCAGTCAGAGCCTCAAGCATGACCATCCCCCAAACGTTGCACATCTCATTCATTGTGTTTATATATACACATCCCCTCCCCCACCCCACCTGCCCGACACCCAATAAATGTTATTCCTATATGTCCACTGAGGTGTTGATCTGTTAATACTAATTTGCTGATGAGTACATGTGGTGCTTGCTTTTCCATTCTTAAGATACTTCACTTAGTAGAATGGGTTCCAGCTCTATCCAGGAAAATACAAGAGGTGCTATATCACCATTGTTTTTTAAAGCTGAATAGTACTCCATGGTATATATATACCACATTTTATTAATCCACTCATGGATTGATGGGCACTTGGATTGTTTCCACAACTTTGCAATTGTGAATTGTGCTCTATAAACATTCGAGTGCAGGCATCTTTTTCATAAAGTGACTTTTGATCTTTTGGGTAGATGCCCAGTAGTGGAATTGCTGGATCAAATGGTAGATCTACTTGTACTGCTTTCCACAGAAGCTGAACTAGTTTGCAGTCCTACCAGCAGTGTAAGAGTGTTCCTATCTCTCCGCATCCATTCCCACATTTATTGTTTGGGGACTTTTTGATAAAGGCCATTCTCTCTGGAGTTAAGTGATATCTCATTGTGGTTTTGATTTGCATTTTCCTGATGATTAGAGATGTTGAGCATTTTTTCATATGTTCGTTGGCCATTATTCTATCTTCTTTTGAGATGTTTTAGGTTTAAGTTTTGACTTTGCCATTTTCTAGCTCTCCAACTTTGGACCCATTATTTCTTTTTACTGAATTTTATTTCCTTATCTACAAAGTGGGCAAATTAATATCCACTCCACAAAAATTATTTTGAGCATGAAGTATTATACTATTTAAGAAAGTGCTTCATTAAGTGTTCAGTGGCAAATTCAGAAAATCCAACCCAAACAACTTAAGCAAAATGAGAATGTATTGACTCACATAATAAAAAACAGAGCTTCAGGTATGGCTAGATCCAGGGGCTCAAACACTGCTACCAGGTCCAGATTTCACTCTAGCTTTATTACACTTCCTTCTGCATTGGCCTTATCTTCACACAGGTTCTCCCTTGGTAGGGTACAGTGGCTGCAAGAACTCCAGTCTTTTCATCCAGTTTGTAGCCCAGTGGGAAAGACAAAGGCTGCCTTTCTAGATGTTGCCTGGGTTGGGTGTCAGGAGCTACTAAGGAACCTCAGGTACTCTAAAAAGCCACCTGCTCAGGAAAGGAGGCAGTGAGGGCCTGGCCTGCTCAGGCTCACAGAAAGGGCTCCTTCTAGGAGCACGTTGAGGGATTGAAACACACCCAAGGCTCGAGAGGGTTACGTTTTTTCCAGACCAGCAACAGTGTCATCGCATCTCATTGGCTCTGAATGGATCATCCCTGAACCAAAGCAACGTATGATTGATCACATCTGAGCCAGAAGCCTACTCCTGACTCCTAGCAGGAGTCACCACCACCTGCTAGACTGAAAGCATGTAGTTTCCCAGAGGGAACTTGCCATGCTGTTACCAAAGAAGGGCGGAAGGGGTGTTGCAAGGCTAGGGGTGAGGGAAAGAAAGCAAATTTCCCCTAGAATGCCAAAAAAAAATGAAAGTGAATCTGGGCTTTAACACCAATCCTAGACTACTAGACTGGCAGAGTACTTTCTCGGAAAAAAATGGAATTAGGCTAAATGAAGAAAGTGCCATTTGAAATCGTAGCTATAAACTTACATAATTATTATTTCAAGAACTGAATGAAAATACAGATTTTTGTGTTTACATTGCCTGAAAGCTTCACAACGAGAGACCAGAAGGTTGCAGGGTGGGGGTAGGGTGGTGGGTGGCACCTGGAGCTCTGAAAACTCGTGAGTCGAGGACAACTGCACCCTTCGACAGAGCGCTGAGCTGCCGGGGTTGAGCAGCCCGCGCACGCAGGAAGGATGGGCGGTAGGGCCGAGGGGCTGGAGTCTCTGAGTCTGGGATGTCCCTGTCTTATCTTGTGGAATGCCTGCCCTGCATAAACATCGTCAGCTTGAGTTCTGCAGAGATGGTTCTAGGAAGCCCCTCCTGCTGGCAACGGCTTCACTCAGCCTGGGGTGGGGTCCAGAGGACTCGATTTTGAACACGTTTTCTTGCTGCCAGGACTGGAGTTTGGGATCTCTTGCGGGCTCTGCTCATTCCTGCCTGGCTGCGCTGCACACTCTGTGGTCACTGCGCCCCCCCCCCAGATAAGAGCCCCCGAAGAGCAGTGACCCTCAAAGCACGTTGCAGAGCACAGCGCGGTGCCTGGCCTGGAGCGAGCACCCAGCAAACACTCGTTGCAGGAATGCTGGAGGCCAGAGAGGCCAGCAGGCCAGCTGCCTTTTCCCATGTGCCCTTTTCTGGGAAACAAAAGCTTCCACTTCTGGAAAGCACTGCTGTGACTGAGAAGAGTTCATGACAGTAAAGGAAGGAAGGACGCCAGCGGAAAAGGCTCATGGTTCCCCAAGACAGCACATCCTTTTAAAGGACTCCTCCGACACTTTCATAATAACAGTGACAACGCCAGTGACAAGTTTTCATGAATGGAGCTACGTGCCAGTCACTGGGTTCGCACTGCTCGTGTGATTACCTCACTGGGTCTCCATGGCAACCACGGGGTGGGGGGACAGTACCGCACCCCCATTTCACAGATGTTGAAAGGGAGGTGCAGGGGTGTTGTAGCTGGTCCTGGAGCACACAGCGAGGAAGTGACAAGGCTGGGACGCTGCAGCCCGAGGGTGTCATCCCTGCCACACCCACCGCTCACATCTAGCAGGCCTGACAGCACAGTTCTGGAGCCAACACCTGCACGTGTGCCAGGTGCCCGGGACCATCCTAGATGGTAGCATCCAGCAAAAATACGACAAGAGCCGAGGAGATCAGAGGAAAGCGAAAGACCTCTCAATAAAGAGGCCACTGTGCACTTCTCCAAACAGGCTATTTTCTTTCTCATTTTTATTCCCCTGCTGCGTGCTGAAGGTCACCAGCTACGTCTGCACAAGCTGGTGAAGTCACAGAAAGGCATGCTTGGCAGGGGAACCCAGGGATGGAAGGGGTGGGGGAGACGGGACAGAGCAGGGGAGGAGGTGAGGCAATTCTGCAGTGAGGGGCAGTCTGGCCGGCTCTTCCTCCCCAAACCGGCCCAATGACCTTGCTGCCTCGCTGACCACTCCCCTGGGCTGGCCTCCCGCACTCACAAACAGCCGGCCGCCCGGCTCAGCCTGTGTTCCTGCAGCCGGCTGGGTGCTGCTCCTTCTCGGCGGGAAAGGCCTCTTGGAAGAGCCAGAAAGGTGGGTGCCGAGTTGAGGTTCATCTGTTCTTCTCAGAGTGCGCTTATTAGGAGTCTGAAGCCAGGGTGGGGCGGAGGGCGTCCTCCTGGGAACATATCTGATCATCTTCATGAGGGAAGCACACCTCCTGACGGGCCTGGCTGCTCTGAGGGGGCGGGCGGGGAGGTGAAGGTCAGGGGCAGGAAGGCAATGGGGGAGAAAGAAACTCTTCCTCCTTCCCACCTGCAAGGATCAGGCCACGAGGACTTTGGTGTTAGAGTGACGAAGGCCGCGTTTCTAGATGCCGCGTGGGTTGGGTGTCGGGAGCAGCGGAGGAAGCTCAGGGGCTCCAAAAGCCACCTGCTCAGGAAGGCGGGGAGGGCCTGGCCAGCCCGGACCCTCAGCAAGGGCTCCTCCTAGGAGCGGGCTGAGGGCTCAAAGCAGAGACAAGGCTCAAGAGGGTCACGTTCTTCCCTCGCACAAACCCAGGAAGGAGAAACAGGCGTGGTGGCCAGAACCCTTTGGTTCAGGACAAGGACCTCTGTCCCCTTTCTCTGATAAAAACCTGTCCTTCCCTCCAGACCCGTGCAGAAAGCAGACCTTCAAAAAATAAAAAAACCTCTTGGTCATTCACAGCCCAAACTGAGCCTTCTGAAGGTGACCTCCGAGGGGGGGAGGAGCGAAAGGCGTGAGAAACAGGTGTCAGAGTTCACCTGCATTTGAGGAACAAGGAAGAATTTTCTTCTTTTTGTTTGAAGAGAAAAACATCTCAAAATGCCTATTACCCAAAGACTCTTGAGAAAGAAAACTCAGTGACACACCCAACACAATCTGGCTTCGCTCTGCATTTTCAAGGAAGAGATTCCCAAGCAGCAGAGACCCCCTCAGTGGCAGAACTGCCTCGGCACGGTGACGGGGACCTTGAGGCCGAGGTCTGGCAGGGGTGTCCCCACTCCCTGGCCTGCCCCCTGGGGACTCGGGTGGTAGCACCACACTAGTCCGTGCCATTTAGTGGGGTCCCTTGATGTTACTTTCTCTGCTTCTCTTGTCTGGCTATTCCTTCTTGGAGTCTTTCCCGGGCACCTCCTCCTCCTCCTGTGGCCCCCACAGCCTCCATCAGTGAATGGTCCCCATGTCTCTACCAGAAGCTTCTCTATGATGGCTAGGAGCTGCCACTTCCTGAGAACTTTCTATGCACCGGGCTCTGTACCCTAGATAAGAGCTGCACGCTGCGGTGCCTAAACCTTGGGCTTGGAGCAGAGCACACGCTTTCAAATCCTGCCCTCAGTTATTCATCGAAAGTGTAACCCTTGGGCAGGACACTCGCCTCTCCGTGCCTCAGTTTCCCACGCTTTAGAATAGGGATGATGATAGCACCTACTGCATCATGTTCTTGCAAGGATGAAATAAATTAACGCATGCAAAGTGCTTTTAACAGTGCGTGGCATGTGTGTTCACTAAGCGTTAGCAATTCTAATTCTTCCCAGCCTCACAGCAAGCCTCCAAGATAAGTATGTACTATTACCCCTATTTGCAGATGAGAAAACTGAGGTTGAGAGAAGAGGTGGGCCAGCGTACAGTTTGCAGTCCAGCACTGAATCTGCTCTTCTGCAATAAAAATAACGGTAACAGCTAGCCCTTAGAAAGCAAGTGGTAGTCAGGCTTTAGATCCAAAAGGTGAGACCCAGAATCCATTCTTTTAATGACCATACTAAATTTCCTTTCTGTAATAGTTAAGAATAAGTACTCAATCTCCAAGTTTGTTTTTTAAATGGCACCTATTTAGAGTTGGAGAAGGCCCTTGAAAATGCAGTTGGCCTCCAAACTAGTTCTTTGGAGGTAGCATTAATCCCTGTGGGCAGATTTAAAAATGTGAAAATAGCTTGGCTTATATCTCATTTAATCCTCACTGAGATCTGCAGTGGTACTGCCGGCCTTATTTTACAGGTAAGGAACCTGAGGCTAAGAGTCAGTGACCCATGAAGTTACAGTTAGTATATGTTGGAATTGGGATTCAAATCTGTGTCTGACTTTGTCATTCCTGGCTGCGCCCCTAGAATCTTTGATGGAGTTTTTTTTTTCTTTCTTTTTAAAAAATCAAACTCACTGTATCAGAATCTACTGGGGTGGGGCTTGAGCAATCTGATTTTTAGAAACCAAAATCCGATGTGCATTCAACACTGAGAACCCCTGCTTCATCTCTTCTTCTAAGGGCCAGACCTGAGTTTCCAACAGTTGCCCAAGTGTCTCCCCACCTGGCACCCTCAGCAGGCTCGGGCTGCACTCGTCCTCTCTCCCTTCTTCTCAGGACCTGGTAACCACCCTCTGTCCACTTAGTGTCCCCTGCTGGGAACCTTCGTCACCAGCAGCTGCTCGTTTACCTTCCCTCTTGTCAAAACTACCCAAGGTGTCTCCCAAACACGTGCCCTCCTCTGTGTTTGCTGCCTCCACTTTGGTGACAGCTTTTGTTGCTTCCAGCTTGGGTTACCACAACAGCCCCCTAACTCGCTCCCTGTCTCCATCTCCCCCTGGGCTACTCACTCCCATTCTTCCTCCCCTTTCCTTCCATCCCAAAGTCCAGCCCACATCCCATCTCTTGGTGAACTATCTCATCACCCACCTTTCTCCTTAAAAATTTCCACCAGCAGTATGCTCTGAAATGGGCTTCATTCCTGGCTTGGCCGGAGCTCCTACTCATCTTGTGGGACCCTGCTCAAAAGTCACCTCCTCTGGGAAGCCTTCCTGGAGTCCCCCAGGCAGAAGGGCACTACCTTCTCCGTTCTTCCTCAGCACAAGGCCCCATCTTTCAATCGTACGATTGTGTTGGAATGATTTAATGACGTGTCTGTCCCTCACTGAACTCCTCATTCAACAATCCCGTATTAGATTTCTCCTATTGTCAGGTGTCTGCTCAGGAGCTGAGGATACTTATGAATAAAACTTGAGTTTCTGTCTTTAAGAAGCTCCAAGTCTACTGAGTGTAGCAGAGGCCAGCGAGAAGACACTTCACAGGGAAGACACAGCACACGCAAAGACGGAGAAGGCAGGGACAGCAAGTCTTACCTCTGTGTCTGAAAGGGAGGATGTAGAAAAAGGATGCCGAGGGACCAGAGGAGGAGCCCGGAGGCCCGGCTACGGAAGGACCACGAGGCGCCCTCCACTCCATGGAGATAGGACTTGAGAGAACCACGACCATTTGCGAGCCTCCTGAGATCTGCTCTCATCCACCCTTTTTTTTTTTTTTTTTGAAACAGAGTCTCACTTTGTTGCCCAGGCTAGAGTCCCATGACATGTCAGCCTAGCTCACAGCAACCTCAATCTCCTGGGATTAAGTGATCCTTCTGCCTCAGCCTCCCAAGTGGCTGGGACTACAGGCATGCGCCACCATGCCCGGCTAATTTTTTGTATATATATATATATTTTAGTTGGTCAATTAATTTCTTTCTATTTTTAGTAGAGACGGGGGTCTCGCTCTTGCTCAGGCTGGTTTTGAACTCCTGACCTCGAGCAATCCGCCGGCCTCGGCCTCCCAGAGTGCTAGGATCACAGGCGTGAGCCACCGCGCCCTCATCCACCTTTATGCCCACAGCACTGACGCAGTGCGGGCACGCGGCCGGCCCTGGAGGAACACCTGCCAAATGCATGAATTGTTCCGGGCAAGGAGGCCGCTTGGGGGCTGGGCTGGAGGGTTGGGTGTCTGGCGACGGGGTCCCTGAGATTGTATTGCAAGTGACTAAGGCTCGCTCTGCCCCCACCCCGCGGGGGCGCCCGCAGGTGCCGAGCCGCCATGCTGGCGCTGCTGTGTGCCTGCCTGCTCCTGGCGGCCAGGGCCTCGGTCGCCGGCACGGACGCGGACCTGGACCTGGGGGAGCAGATCCGAGACATGCACGCCAAAGTGACGGACATCTGGCAGGAGGTCACGCGGCGCAAGGAGGACGGCGACGCCCCGCTCTACGCCGCCTGCCGCGTGCAGCCGTGGGCCTCGGCGGACGCCGCGCAGCCGCGCGTCACCGGCCTGGTCCTCTTCCGGCAGCTGGACCCCGGCGCCAGGCTCGAGGCCTTCTTCGACCTGGCGGGCTTCCCGGCCGAGCCCAGCAACTCCAGCCGCGCCATCCACGTGCACCAGTTCGGGGACCTGAGCCAGGGCTGTGAGTCCACCGGGCCCCACTACAACCCGCTGGCCGTGCCGCACCCGCAGCACCCGGGCGACTTCGGCAACTTCGCCGTGCGCGACGGCCGCCTCTGGAAGCACCGCGCCAACCTGGCCGCGTCGCTCGCGGGCCCGCACTCCATCGTGGGCCGCGCCGTGGTGGTCCACGCCGGCGTGGACGACCTGGGCCGCGGCGGCAACCAGGCCAGCGTGGAGAACGGCAACGCGGGCCGCCGGCTGGCCTGCTGCGTGGTGGGCCTGAGCGGGCCCGCGCCCTGGGCGCAAAAGGAGCGGGAGAACGCCGAGCGCAAGAAGCGGCGGCGCGACAGCGAGTGCACGGCCGCCTGAGCACCCCGCGGGCTCCCGGGCCCCCACCCGCCCCTGAGTTCTCCCTCCGCTCCCAGAGACACCCACCCCGACGTCTCGCCTTCACCATGGCTGAGCTCTCCCCCACAAACCCTCTCCACTCGAGGTCTCCCTGAGTGTGCTGAGACACCCGCCCTTCCCTTCCATCCTGAGGGCTGCTCAGGCCCTCCTAGCTCCGCGTCCGGTAGCCCTGAGGGCCTCCAGTTGTACTGAAATACCCCGTGCACCCCAGGGTCTCCTGGACCCCCATCCCCACCCTATGAGCCCTGAGACCTCCCTGTGCCCTGACGACCTCCCCTTTCCCCTTCCTTCACGTCCCTCCTAGGCACTCTGAGACCCCTCCTGAGGTCGCCTAGGGTCCCCCTGTCCCCGCTCACCACTGCCCCTGAGGCCAGCTAGCCACTGCAGTCCGAAGTCAGCCCCCTGCCCCCACCCGGCATCTTCAGCTGTGTCCCATCCGCCGCCACTCCAGGGAAAGCTGTTCTTTTGGGGGATGTTTGGCGATCTTTGTGTTGCACATTAAAAACTCCAATTCAGTACCGCATGGAGGTCTTGGTTACTTTCCTTTGTTCCTTTGAGACTTCTCTCCCAGGCTCAGCTTTTTTTTTTTTTCTTTTTGAGACGGCAAAAATATTTCTCATACTGGTGCAGGACTTCTTATCCTCCCCTCCCCAACCCTGCAGGCAACAATGTAACAATGTTCAGTCACTGACTGTCCTGCCATTTGGTGTGGCTCCAACATGGAGATCATCAGAATCACTCAGGGAAGTTAAGAAAAAAAAATACAGCTTCCTAGGATACAGCCCAGAGTGGTGGAATCCAAAGAGAGAGGAGAAAATTTATTTCCGACAAACTTCTGGGTGATTCTGACACTGGAGCCACTGGCCTGGGAGGGGATGAGGCTCGTGCAGACTCAGCTGGGTGGTGGCTTCTCACATCTGCCTCCATGTGCAGCCGTGGGTCCCTTACCTAGATGTCAGACAAGTGCTGATGAAGCCACGCAACTGGGCAGGTTACAGGGGGTTGGGTTGGTGTCTGAAGTCGTCAGCATTCTGCACGACCAGGACCGAAGGCAGGCTGAGTTTGATTAAGGCTTGTTGGGGGTTCAGCTTTCCATTTTGAAAACTATAATCTACACGCAGACTAGAACAGTCTTGAGTATACACCTTCATTCACAGAATAAAAGTACTTGCAGTAACTTTGTCACCTGCCAGGGTAGTCTCACTTCTCAGCGGTGGCTTTTCCACCCTGGTTACTGAGAGGCAGTTTCCATTTCTCCCAGACGCCTAAGGCAGTGAGTCAAACTGAGCCGCAGCCAGAAACCCATCCCCAGTGGTTATTTTTACCTCTAGCTAGGACTAATTTGTTATTTTAAAATCTTGCCTTGAACCCAAGTGACAGCTGGAGGGAAAGGCTACTGCCTGGTGACTTTGCTCCACCAACTGGCTCTCACTTGTCTGAAATACTGGCTTGATCCACACAGGTCGGCACTGACAGGGAAGGGGCAGAGGAGTCTTTAAATATCCTGATCTCAAATGGATGTGTTTGCCCATCCCCACAATTAAAAGTTGTGAAAATGAGACAGCAATTACATAGGAACACACAGTGGGGAGGAATAAAATGCCAAACACCCCATCTTCTACTCTGCTGCCCAGATTATAGTTAATTCGGGACCATCAAGGGCAGTTTTAGACCTTTTCTGCAGGAGGCTGGTGCTTCTCATCACCTAGGAACCTTCTGGAACTAGGAACCTTCTGTTCCTAGTTTCTCTCTCCACAACCCTTGGGCCCCTAGACGGGGTTGAAGAGACACCCAAGCGAGTCACTTCATTTCTGTTCTGTTTTATTATGGGAATAAGGTTGGTAAACTATCCTGGGGGCCTCCAGGCCCAAGAAACAAACAGAAGATAATAGGAGGACAAATTACAGTTCACGCTACGGGCAAGGAATGCATATAGCATGGTGGTTGACAACCCAGGCTCCGTTAGAAAGGGCCATTTGAACCTCAGCTCTGCCACACTTACGAGCTGTGTGACCTGAACAAGTCACTTAACCTCTCTGAGGCTGGGTAAAATAAGATCATCACACCGGATTGTTTTGAGGATTAAATAGGAGTATCATTTATGAGAGGTGCATAGCATAGCATACACACCTAATAAGGATCTAACAAATGTCTAATGAATAACAATGGCTAAGGTCAGGAAAATAGCTACCTACTAATAAATAGATGGGGCGGCCCTGTAGGGCCGAGAGTGTCGTGCAACTAGGATTCAAGCGAAGAAAAGGTTGCTACCTCTGAGGTTTCTAACAAGGATTTCTGCATCCATTGAATAGCTGGATGGCATGAACTGTGCGATCCCAACTCCTGGGGGAGGGGACCTAGGATGAAGGGGAGATTGTGGGCCATACAGGCAGACATCTGGTTCTTGGCACAGAACCATATGTGTGCCACCAAAGCCGCCCATTGGACCCCACTTGGCCCCTGGAGTCTATTTTTACTCCTCTCATCTTACAGATCTATTTTGTTAATCTCCTTATATTTGCTGTTTTGACTTCTCAGCCAGCTTGCTAATCAGTTTGCCTATTTGACTCACAGGGTTTGCATTTGTCACTGGGACTTAAACACACACTTGTTTTGATTTCTTTTTGTAAAATTAGAAGCATTTGATGTAATGACTCTACCTAGACACAGCTGGTAAAGTGAGAAGAACGCTCAAGTTTGCACAGTTTAAACACAATGTAGACAATAATTAGAAATGCTATCTTTAGATGTTTAGGATAAGCTTTTTCTCAGAATTGCAATGAATTTTTTTTCCGAGTGGGGCTTTTTAGTGCATATATACAGAAATACTAAAAACGTAAGAAAATAGAGCAAATCAGTGAGTGCTTTGGTCAACTTGAAAGACTGCAGGAAATAAACTAACTGATTTTAGATCTGCCTTTTTTGACTGAATGCATAAAATCTTTACATTCTCCATATTTTTTCATGACTACCATATGATCAAATAATTTTAGGTGACAGATTGCAACTGATAAGTTGCTACAATATGCTAGCAGTAATGCTCAGCCTATGCTTGGCCTGCAGTGAGGGTGGGGTGGTGAGGGAGAAGGAAGCAAATAATAAAGATAATTAATCATCTATATCAGGAAAATTACCACATTTTTATTTCAGGTAACAAAAAAGATACAGTTATGATACATGGTGACCACAGAATCCAATAAAGCAAGGTCTGCAAATGAATAGGAGTTACTTCATTCTTTAAATAAAACTACAAAATAGCAGCTGGGTTTTTTTTTTTTTTAAGCCAATTGTTTTAAATTTAATAGGCTATCACTGGCCTCTGCTAAGATCCCAAAATATATTCCTGAGCTCACATAGATTCCAGAAAGGCAAACTTTTCAGTGTTATGCAAACTTTCCCTCTGCATCCAAACAATTCTCATTTAGTAAAGAGGGGATATGAAGTGTAAGGCTGCACATCTATATCTATCATTTTAAATTGCCTTCATGCCGTATCAGCTTGTTTTGTTTTGTTTTTTTGAGCAACCACAATATTGAGAGGCAGGTCCTTCCTATTTTTTCTGCTTTTCATTTCTAAGCAGATTCACTACTGAGCTCCCACTTGCATCTCTCTGATCTATAATTTTTTCTCCGTTCAGAAAGACATATGGAAAAAAAAGGAATATATTAAAGTAGTGAGTTTGGGGCAATGCTTTGGCTTTTCGACATCCTACTTGGAGCCGTCTGAAGTTACCCTCAGTATTATTAAGGAGGAGGATTGTTCTAAATGGAGGCTCCCAGAATGAAAGCAGAGGGAGAAGGTGCTCAAATAGAGACCATTTTCCAAGAAGGGAACCACGTCATCCACAGGGTTTCCGGAAAACAGTGAAGTCAAGACAGCCCTTCATATTTTGGAGGTGCATAAAACCAAGAGGAGCAAAAGGTGGGCTGTAATTTTAAAGAGACAAGCCAGAGAACTCCAATGAACAAGTAGCTGGTCTCTGAACTTCCTTAAAGAGGAGATAGAACTTTTCATGCCACACTGTGAATGGGGGTGCAAATACTCCCAGTAGGAATAACACATAAAAACTTACTCCAATACATGAAGAACAGACAGCAGAACCCTTTCCCAGGACTTCCCGTCGTGATGTCATGATGGTGGTGTGTGTTTGGGGTGAGGGCACAGAAGAGGATCAGTGATGGGCAAACCATTGGGCTTGCTCTAGACTGCCAACAGGGAGGCACGGCCCGCAGGCATTGTGCCTCCCAGCTAGAGAGGCTTCGGGAATGGCTGTGGGAGCAGCAGGAGGGCGGGGGAGGAGAGGGGAAGGTGGACAGAGGAGGCCTGGGAAGAGCCGGGGATGAGAAACGCCTGCTTTACAAAAGCCAATCCATTTCTATGAGCCTTAATTAAAAGCAAGACAAACACTCATATGTAAAAATCCACACCTAAAGGCTCTCAGGTACAGAGCGATCACAAGAAAGGCAGAGCGTGCAAACAAGCTTTCATTAAGAGACCTGTCAGCTCTGTTTCATTTATCCAGACTGTTCTGCATTCTGCTGGCAACCCAGCTGGAAAAATAATGGAAGGACACACACACGCTTGAGGAGGCAAACAAAGGTGGGAACGTTCCACCTACAAAAGAGGACAGAAGCAGGTGGCGGGGAGGCGGGGGCAGAGGGATGAGATGGCGTTTTTCTCAGCAAACACTTCCGAAGACATGGTTTTGTTCCAGTGTTCACCCTTTTGGAATCTGCATGTCTAGGGATGGGGCCCCTACCCAACTCAGAAGGGGAATCTTGAGAAACCTAAACAGATCATGGTAATATCACCTCCCTTGCTAAGGACTGGTTTAGACATAGTTACATGACAGGGGCATATCAGCCTGTGACAATTCTGACCAACACAATGTGGCAGGAACTGGGTTTGTTGCCTTTAAAACACACACACACATATGTGTGGAGAAGCTTCCTTCTGCCTTTGGACATACGTGGGAACACGTGCTGTCTGGAGCTGCGGCAGCCGTCCTACCATCATGTAGGGGCAGCTGATAAGGAGGCAGGTAGAACAGGAAGATGAAAACCCAGGTCCTTGATGACTTTCTTGAATGAACCAGCCCTGGAACGCCCTACTTCTGAAGTTCTTGTTATGCAACAGAATTCATTTCCTTATTGTTTAAGTTTCAGTAAGTGACTTGGAACTGAGAATACATGACTGGTGCAGGCTTATCTGGAAGAGCAGGGGACAGCATGCTGCACCCTTTCACAATGACTCCTAAAAAGACAAAGGACAACCACAAGTAATTGCCAAAACTCCCTTTAATGTCTGTGGAACAGAAGAACCATGCTGGTGGCGGTAGCAGAGATGGGACAGTGTCACCTATGTCTATGGGGTGCTGTCATTGGTTACACCTGGGACAGGATCGACCCATTGGCTCCCATTCCATCTAATAACACAGACGCTCCTGGCTGTCTGCACACGCAGAGTTTAGGTGACCGCTACCTGTGAACCCTGCCCCCTGCCCTGAACCCCAGACTCTTTGGGATACACTGCAGTTTCCCTGATCCTGATGGAATGTGTTGAAGTTTACTATAAACCCTGCTTTCCAGAAGGCGATGAATGGGCCCTGAAGATGTGCACATGTCTGACTGTCTTTTTATTATCATTGTATTTAATTTGGCTGCATTTTCCTTTGGTAGCTCTGCCATCCTATGCAGTAGTGCTAAACATTTGCATATAGTTAAGGCCCAGTCCAGCAGAAAAATCATTACTGTGACTGCTGGTCTGTGCAAGCTCTGCAGCTGCAGAAGCGATTTCCCCTGGGGGGTAAGTGGGCCTGGGGGTGGGGCATAGGCTGGAATGCAGAGGGAAGACTGGAGCATGGGAGCCCAGTGGGCAGGGCTGGTGGCATGTCCTCCTCGCCAGCAGCAACACAGCACTGACTGCAGCATGCTCCCATCTTCTAGACAGGGGTGGCCAAAGCGGCTGGCGGCCCACGCAGTGTGCACCGGACAAAGGACTGGGTCCCTCTGTGCTGCACTTTGCCTTCCTTCAGAGCGAGGCAGCACAACCATGATGGGGCTTCCATCCTGCTAGCAGAGTGACGCAGGCATGCAACCCGGCAGGGACGCGGCGGCGTGGGCTGGCCCTCATGTGCAGGCATCACACCTGAGATCTCGAGCCTGGAATAAACACTGGATTTTTAAGATGAATTTTCAGTCTCTACCACTGTGGCAGCCTCTCTTTTTCCTGCAGGAGGCGCTCAGAGGAGCGATTCGTGCTCTCAGAGGCCCTCTGAACTTCGGGATCTGCTATCAGGCTGTCCTGGGGAAACGGACTGAGTTCAGCTCAAAGAAAGGTCTATGGTTGGATGATCGTTTAATTTTCTGCAGTGCCGGATGCCACCTAGAAAAGCTCATTTTTATTCCAAAAGAAAAAACACCATATAAGATTGACCACGCCCTCCTTCCCCACCCTTGGACTTGGTTCCACAGTCCCCCTTACAATGCAGTAATGAAGTTCTTTAAGTTCTGTTGTTTTCCTCTCTCTTCCCCCTATCGGGCCATGAGCTCTGTGTCCTGTCTTGGAAATCTCAGGACCTGTGGAGGGATGGAGGTCTCTGGTGGTACAGGAAACTAGACTGGCCCTGAGCAGCTAGTCCCCCCCCAAACCTGAAATGGCCGTAACATCCTCTACGCAGGACAGGTTGAATGGAGAGAACTAGCATTTCCAGGTTCTAACTCTCATCTCATCTCAGAAACAAACAAACAAAAAATTCTCAGACCCCCATCGAGAGTCCCCTCCCCCAGTCACTTTGGATCAATTAATCCTCCAGGTTTATAGCTGGAACACCGAGCTCTGGCAGTCAGCAAGCGGGCCTCAGCAGGGGGCTGTGGATTTCAAACCAGAAGCCCCACCTTCTCTTCCCAGCCTGCTAAGTCCCTTTCCACCTGCCAGTCCACGCGGTGACAGGCAGTGCTGGGGGCAGGGAGCCAAGCACACCCGCGCCGGGCCGGCCCTCCCTGCAGGGCCTGGCGTGCTGGGCAGCGGCGGTGGACACGTTCTGCCCAATTACACCTTCCTCTCCAGCCGCCGAACCTTTACCAAGACAGGAACCTGATTCAAAACCCCATCGGTTCCTAGCTCTTCCCATACTTTTGACCGACAACATGAAAGGCTAATAGGAAAACATCTTATCTCTGACAAAACAAAAGGCTGACAAGAAGACGGAAACTGAAAACCAGCGCCATGGTGGACGCCATTCCCACGTTCACGGTGTTCACGGCCGCGCGGCTTCGGCAGAAAGGGATGACACTGAGAAGCTTGAGGCTCCGTGTTTAATAAATCAAACTGTTCTGGCATCCTCAGACTGTTCACAGCTTGCAACAGGATCAGAGCGTGTTCTCACTTGCAGACTCGCAGGTGTTTTAGGAGAAGGCGGCTTGGGCGCGCTGTCCTGACTTGTCATTCCTCGCTGTCCCAGGGCTTTCGACGTGTCATCCTGTCGGGTCCCTTTCCCCTTCACGTTTGCACAGTGCTCCTCGTGCCCCTGCCCTCGGGGATCCCTTTGCCGTCTTCTGGCGTGGAAGCTTCGGCGGCTGGCTGGCTGGGCTCGGAGGAGTCCAGCTGAGGTGTGGGGGGCTCCCCGCCCGAGGCCAGGCCTGGCACGCTCGGCCCCCTCTCGCTCCTCTGACCCTCCACGAGACTCGCTCCTCTGACCTCTTTCGGTTCTGCAGCTGCCTGCTCCTTTGTCAGTTTAATTATTTCCCTTCCAAGCTTGTTTACTTCTTCTTCCTCAGAAGGTAACCGGGGTAATGAAGGATGAAAGAGCTTGCGTTGGTTCCTGAGGCTGGGGTTTGCCGGGGAGTTGACAGCGGGTCTCCCGGCATCCTCGGGCGCTGTCAACGCCTCGGCAGCGGCACGACTTTCATCTCCTTCCTGCTTCTGAACCTCCCCTGGAAACAGAACGAGGGCAGCATTCAATCTCTGGCAGCAAGTCAGTCACCTCCCCTCTGCTGCCACCCTCCCGCCCCGCACACTGGCACGGGGACCTCCGGGAAAGGAGACACTGTTGCTGGGTCCCCCCTGCAGGGCACTGGGGCTGAGGGGGAACACAGGACCCAGGCCGAAGAACTGATCACTGCACTCTAGTGATCCCTGTGTCGTGATTGGAGGGCAAGGGCCACGTCCATATCCACCCTTCTCAGGGGCCTGCTTAGCTAGGCCCACTGCTAACAGAGGCTCCAGGTGCGCATTAAATGTTCAAACTGAGGACACAGGGTGTGTTGGTTCTGCAGCACAGGGGAGACCTGGGGTTCTCTAGTAATGAACAAAGGTTCTGGCAGTCTTCAGGATGGGAAGCTGGATGGTCTGGGAGGGAGTCAGTGGCAACCCCCTCCCTCAAATTCTTCTCTATCAGCCTCATTCTTAAGACTGACCCCTGATGTCCCCTCAATTTCCAATGAAATGGTGTGCATAATTGCTCCCTCCCCCACTGAACTGATGACCCTAAACCCCTTCTCTACAGAACAGAGATTCTAGAGCTGCTCTAGAGGAGGGGGATGGGCGAGAAGCAGGAGCCCCGAGAGTGCTGGTGTTTAGTCCCCATTCCTGATCATTTCTTTGTGATCAGGGTGCCTTGCTTGGCCTCTGTTTCTCAGATACAAATCAGGGAGGGACTCTCTCATATTCCTCCCAGACTTAACGAGCAATGGTTGAACCTTGGGTTAAATCTATGGCAGTCACAGACAACTATGTATTACTCTCCTACGAGTTCGCTGGTCTCGGTAAGCACTGTATCTGAAAAGGAGACTATTACTGGTGCTTATAATGAAATATGTGAATGTATAAATAAGTGAATTAAGTAAACCTTGATTTTTTAAGAAAATAACCATTCAGATCTGTTCATCCAGGATAAGGTACGTTAGTTCCTAATAGGTTTCTTGGATTCTGGTGTCTCCCTGCACTAATCCAACCTGTTGGGAGAGGATCCTTCCCTAAAGCTGTGCCACCCAGTGGGATTCATGGACCAGCAGCATCACCCAGGGGGGGCATGATAGACATGCAGGATCTCTGGCCCTGCCCCAGAATGACTGGTTCAGAGTCTGTACTTTAATAAGATCCCAGGCCACATGGGTGCATACTACAGTTTGAGAAGCACCTCAAGCTTGAAGCACAAACCTCACCATGCCTTTTCCCAGGTATAAAACATTCAAAGGCTGCCAGTGCCTCATGAACAAAGCCCAAGCTCGTGACCTGGCATCCAAGGCCTTCCATGACCCAACATCCGTCTGCCTTTCTACCTGACATTGCAAGTCCTCTCCTTGTTCCCTGCTCTCCAGCCACACTGAGCCCTTCGTGGTGCCCTGCCCCTGCCCCAGGGCCTTGGCTTAAGTGGTAGATTCCTCCACAACTATCATTCCCTTACATATGAAGGGAATGATAATCCAGTTGGTAATCCAGTCGGTAATCCATGGTAATCCAGTCGGCTTACCATGAAGCCAACTGGATTAAATCTGGCCAGAGGTAATAGTCCCAGCGTCCAAATTCCCTTAGGCTGTGTCTAGACCTCCTAGGGAACTTAGTGTATTTTATTCTCCCCACTCAACTTATTTTATACATATAGTTAGCTTATAACCACCTTAAATATGAAATCTTGCCTGATTAGATTTTTAATTTTGCCAATGCTCTATAGTGGGGGCTCAGAAAAGAGTGGGGGCTCAGAAAACAGTTTGACTGTATGAGCATATACATGAATGCACGAATAAATGAATATATTAGTATATATATTTAATGATCATTCATTAATATATGAAAGTAATCCATGAATTTATGGTATTCATTTCAGGGAGTATGCAGGTTGCTATCTTGAAAGTTCTTAAGATGGTACTTTTTTGGGGGGAAAAATAGATTTCTAACTTGCACAAACATTTATCTACATCTAAGGTAGCTCAAGCAAAGCAATCACATAATTTTCATACTAACAAATGAAAATTTTTATAGTGGTTGTAGAGGGGACATGAGAAACAGTGCATCAAAATGAGCATGTTTCTAGCATAGTGGGGAAGCTTTATTCAAAAGGAGTAAATTATGGTACTTTCTGCAGCTAAATTTTTCATCAACGTGAGATGAATAAACTCCTTCTGGAAATTACTCTTATGAAATTACTTCTTCCAGGACACTTAATAGTATATTCTGGTGCCCCTGAAAAATTAATTAACCTTACTCGTAACAACCTAACCCCTAAACCATCTGCGGTGTGTTTTTACTGTGGGTCAGGTTAATCTTCTCTACCTTAATTTACATCTAAGTGAGGGTGGTCTAAATTACACTGGGGAATTGCAGTTGCTGGTATTTTGCCTTGTGCCATTTCTTTAGATGACATTCCGCTCATGTCCAAATGTATGAATCTCTTTTAAAATGGCAAAGCTCTGAGATTACCAGGGAGAACTTTTTAACTTCTGAGGGGGGGTGGGGTGGGCAGGAAAGATAACTCTGCTGTCCTCATTATAGGCCAAAGCACAGGCACAGTAAGGAGAAGAATGAACACAGGCTGTAATCCTATTGTTTGGTCCCTATCAGGCATTTACTTTTTCTGAGAAAGGCTAGATTTCCATAGCCTCAAGACCACAGAGGTACAGGGGCCAGGAGGTGGGACTGGATTATGGGTCAACAGTAGGATTTATCAATAGCAGCCCCCTTCCCCCTTTTGTTTTATCCCAAAGATATTCAAAGAGTATACCCAAGTCATTATCAGGAGACAAAGAAAAGTTATTGAAGATGTCACAACTGTTGAACTGTCACTAGGATCTCTGGTTGCTTGCTGTGGGAGTGAAATCCTCCTTTAACACTAAGATTCCAGACCGTTAACTCTTAAGCTGTGGTACTTTTCTTTCTTCCTTTAAGAACAGACACTTAGCATTGCCATTTCCATAAAAGACTTCTGAACTAGCCAAGAGTAGGAAAATATTATTACAAATAATAGTAACTATTCTGTGCTGTTTTAGCAAACAGAATTATCATTAATGCTTATTGATAACAACATACATATCAGTAATGATGAGGCAATCAACTGATATAATGCATTATGGCACAAATAGTATGGAAACAAAAAATATTTCCCCTGAAAGATGAAGACGCAGTATGTCTTTGCATAAAAGATTGCTAATCCCCTAAAAATGTGTTTTCTTCCCCTCTGGCCCAAAGGGGACATTTGTCTCCCTTTGTTAACTGGTCTCTGATGAGCTTTGTCCTCCCAAGTGTATGCTGCTTTCAGTTGGAATTAATCAGAGATGCAACAGTGATGAGGCCATCCCGGACGCTGACAGCCGCTACATAAATGCTTCCTTGTTCCCACCCAGTGCTGGCGACGGATGACTGGAACAATGAGAGCTAATGATGAAACTCTGGAAGCTATCATTTTGAATCAGTCCATTACTTAAGCCGCCCTTGTGAAAATCAAGCCATGCTCAGCTCCATGTCAGGTTAGCAGGCCCAGGCCCACCCCTAGGCTCAGCCCAGAATAGACAGAGGGCTTTGGATCTCCATGTGGACAATGCATGCAGGCATGGAATGGCCATCCGCCAAGACATGTTACAGGCCACACAGCGGGCCACGGCGTTTGTTCCAGGCCAGCCTTGCACACAGCCATGTGCTGCTGGCTGGAAAGACCCAGCCTTGCTTCCCGGCCAGTGTGGAACCTACCAGAGTCAGGGGGCTCGCTTAAGGAATCCCCCCCCCCAATGTACTTGTGGAGTCTTTCTGTTGAGATCCAAGACAGGTGCTGACTTCCATTCTCACCACTCCATGTATGTACTAGGATGAGTGATTTGAGCAGGCTTCGAAACACAGGGTGCATGAGCGAGCCTTGCTGAGACCAGCTCTGATGAGCAGAACTGCCCATATGACCCAAAGATGCATGAAAAATAACACACAGTAGTTGCTGTGAGTTCTAAGTTTCGAGGTGGTTTGTTTGTTACACGGGACTAGCTGAGTGACACAGCGGGTTAATCCATTTTGATAAGAACACAGTTTTTAGGTCAGGTAATCATAAGGTTAGAGAGGTAGGCTAGGCCAGCTCGCAGAGTTGAGATTTTAAGAGGGAGACGGCTGAGAGCCGCTTGGGACTTTTTAGCAGCCTACAAACACGATGGCAAACAGTCCTCCAAAGCTTTACGCTACAGTAGCAGGATGAAGACAGGAATGAGGCAAGGAGAGTCCATGAGGCAGGAAATCCAGGAGGGGAGCCATGCCGACAGGACGATGAGGGTCTGAGCCGAGCCAGGTGTGGGGGCTACAGAGGTGTGAGAACTCTGCAGAAAGAGCTGGGTACAGACCAGCTGTGGGTGGGGAAGGAAGGCTGACAGGGTGGATGGCTCTGAGTTTCAAGCCTGAGTAGCTGAGAGGGTGACAAAACAGAGAAGAAGCAGGAAGCGTTGGTGGTGTCACACTTGAGAAGCCCATAGAATATTTGGGATGGAGAGGTAGAAGGGGGCAAGTTCAGGTTCTGGGAAATCTGGGACTATAACTCTGCAGACGGAGCCCAGTGAGGGGAAAATACTTTGAGAATATATTTATGGAGGTGATGATTTAAAGACATGAGTCTTTAGAGATGGAGAAGAAACGTGGATGTTCAAAGAAAGCACCTTGATACTCGCATGCTGGGTACGTAAGTTATCTATTGCTGTGTAACAAATTACTTTAAAAACAAGCAGCTTAAGACTCAGGAGTCTGGGATCAGTTTAGCTGAGTGGTTCTGGCTCACGATCTCTCATGAGGTTCTCATCAAACTGTTGCTCAGGACTGTTGGCGTCTGAAGGCTTGACTGGGGCTGGAGAATCTTCTTCCAAGATGGCTCACGTGGCTGAGGGCTGGAGGCCTCAGTTCCACACCACGTGAGCCCTGAGCATCCTTAGGACGTGGCAGCCAGCTTCCTCCAGAGTGAACACTCCAAGAGAGACAGAGCCAGGCACGAGTCTCATGTCTTTTACGACCCAGCCTCAGAAGTCAAACACTACCACTTCTGCTCCATTCGGTTAATCACACGGACCGACCACGATACAGTGCAGGGGAGGACTACACAAGGGCATGAATACCAAGGGGTAGGGATCATTTAGTGCCACCATGGCAACTGGCCACCACACTGGGGGTGGCAGAAGAAGAGAAGCAAAACTTCCAAAGATATGAAGGACAGTCTTCTTGGGGAAACCAGACTGTCGCATGGGAAGAGATCTGGCTTTCACACCTTCTGGCTCATCTGAATCCCTAGGTGGGTCTTGGATCCCCTTCAAAACACTCTGCCCCCAAAACTGTCTGGCTGGTAGAGGAGAAGCTTTTCTCTCCATTCCATGGATTCCCAGACCACTTACCACGTGCCAGGCAATATGCCAAGATTTCCCCAAGGTTGGCATCATGATGTCACCATTTTATAGGAAAGGAAACTGAGGCTGAAGTCCACTAGCCCAAATTCTCACTGCCAATGTCATGTGGGACTGGAAGATGAACCCATGCTGTCACCTCCTGAGTGCCCACTCTTAACTTCTACGCCACTGGTCCCAGGGTGCAGGGGCCTGCATTCTTCTGCTGAAACCTCCTGACAAGATGAACCCATATGAGCCACAGGAGGAAACGTGAGGATGCCCCACCGGTGCCATAGCAGCTGCAGGAAAGGGAAGGGACTGATGTCCACTGAGTCCCTCCTCTGTGGCAGGCAAGGGCCAGGCAAACACGAAGAAATCAAGGTGCGCTCACCATCCTTGGAATTCGCTTTGTTCTCGGTGGGCTGGTCAACTGACTTCAGCAGTGGGGATCTTGACCGCTGTATGGTGGGGAGACTGGGGTCGCTGAACAGTATGGTGTCCTTGCCCCCTGTTGGGGAAGTGGGGAAAAGGGACATTTTTATCATCAGTAGAGTTGGGTTACATTCACTCCCACATAATTAACTGGCTGTTCGGGTTAACAAGGGACTTTCTTCAATGGTAGGTTAATGCACGGAAGGGAAATGGCCAGCAGGCCCTTCTGTAGCGTGGGGAAAGAGCAGTGAGGTCCAGGGCCAGCTGCCTGTGATTAAAGACCTTGACTCCTTCCTGAGTCTGCTCAGGGCTGGCTGCCCACAAATGCCACCACTGAAGGGCAGCCTGTTATGCTGGCTGAAAACTGAGTGGCTTTGATCTGAATGAGATAATAATGATAATAATAACAGCAGAGTGCTTTGGCATGTACGCTTTGCAGCTACGCTAGAGAGTCTGTGTTCTGGACATCATCCCTTGCCAGCTGGGTAACCTCAGGCATGTCATTTGACCTCTCTGGACCTCAGATCCCTCATCTGCAAAATGAGGAAGGATATAACAGCATCCACCTCATTAGGTGGCTGTGAGTATGAAATGACTGGTTCACATAAAGGACTTAGGTGTTTAGTCGACACTCAATAAATGTCACCTATTGAAATGATTACAGTGTAGACAGCACTGCTATACACACTACCTCTGATTTAATTCCATTTGGCCTTTTCGATTGAGTAACTCTGTCATAAGGGAGGTATATCAAGTCCTCCAAACTATCACAGCTAAATGTTCACTTAGAACTGGCGGTGCCATACCAGCGAACCTGTCTACCTATTGGTATGAACTCCCTAACTGGATGCAGAAAGTCCCAGGCACAGGGAGGAGGAAAGGGAAATCATTACAACACTGTTTTGGAGGCCGTGGTGAGTGTGGAGGGGAGGTGCAGGGAATGTGGCTTTGAAAACGGAACACGGTGAACACACACACACAAACACAGAACACGTGGACATAGAGCCATGCCACCCCCAGGGGTCAAGAAAGCCCATCAGCTGGGATTTGATTCCAAACTTTGGTCCATGAGGCCTTGGGATTCTCTCATTGTGCCAAAAATGAAATCCCCAGGGGCCACCTGACCAGCCTATGCCTATGCTTAACTGTCTGGTTTTGAGCAAGAAAGACCCTTCTCTAAAGCTGTGTGAGGCCGAGGCACTAAGGTGTCTCTAGGGCTCAGATTAGAGACTCTAAAACTCTATGATTTTGCTCAGGTTCAGCAGAGCACAGATGGCATTGGTGTAAAGTCACCCACTCCTCCTTTGGAGAACCAGGTGAACTGGGGGCATAACTGCATCACTGTGCCCTGGGTCCCTCCTAGTTTTTTATAATACTGTCTTCCCATCAGGCCATGTCTTATTAACTTGATTTCCAAGACTGTGGTAGAGAGTTTGGCACATGGTATGTGCTTAATGAATGTCTGATAAATGTCTGAATACATGGCCGACACATTCTTGGGAATATTGATGTCTGGTGGGCGTGGGTGCTAGGGGCTGCCTCGGGCAGATGGGGTATGTCACTAGCTGCCACGGGCTCCAGTTGCTGTGCTATGTGAAAGTCATCCCAGGAGAGTAGAACCTGACAAGAGCCAAGCATGAAGTTCTGTACCAGCACAGCTACTGTTTCACGTGGGGAAAAGGCCATAAATCTTCAAGGCCAAAGTCAGGAGAGGTTTTCCAAGGAGAAGGGTTGATCTGCAGCTCAGGATGCTGTTAAGAGGCTCTCAGAATGAAGTCGACACAATCAGGGCCCTCTTTGTGCTGCAGATACAATCTGGAAACACCTGGATGGATTAATGGTGATCCAGGCTTTGGCTTCCATGAATTGACAGCAGGTTCCTCAAGATGGATTTCTTCTGTTTCTCCCCATCAAGGCAACATTTACTGTCCCCAAGTCAGGGACCAGATGGCATTTCTTGACCCATATCTCTGTAGCAGGTGGGTCAGCAGCCCTCTCTCCTTCAGAGGACTCAGTAAGAGACACATTCTGTCCCTCTGGATTCCAACTAGTCTTCTAAATCCCCTCTGCCTCAGTGGACAAAGAATCAGAATTAGGGACAGAGGAGACAGGTGACTACAGCGTGTGACTAAGGCAGCCTGAGGGAGGCCCCCAGCCGTTCCTGTCCTGAGGAATTCTTTAGGGCAGAATGTCCCCTTGGCCCTATCCAACCACAGGGTCATTGTGCATTCTACAACGCACAATCCACCTCTCCAAAAATCTGAGCAAAGAACAGGTGGAGAAGGGCAATGGAAACCACCATTCATTCACATCTAAACAAGGTAGGGGTTGGGGAGAAGACAACTACCTCCCTAAACTGTTCCCTAAAGAGCTCATTTCCTGATTTTAAGGTAAAATGCCAAGATTTGGCCATTCTTGCCCAATATTTGAAGGATTCAAACAACTTTCCTAAAAGGCTCTTTGTTCTATTATTTCAAACCAAGTCCAGATTCTATCTCTGTTGACTATATTGGTGCTAATCAGATGGTCTGTAATCTTGCACATTCATTTCTATTCTTAGGACTAGAGGATGGGGAGGGGGTCAGGGTGGTCCACAAACTGAAGTCAAACTACAACCAATGTAGAACACAGGCCCTTACATTCAACTGGTATTTGAGTTTCTAGAAGCTCTCCTGACTCCTTAGGGCACAAAAATCCCTCATCCCCATCTCCAAAACATATCACATGCTTTCAAACCACTCATTTTATTCCTTAGGCTGATGCTTGGAATGGAGAGAGAAAGAAAATGAAAAGCTCAGAGGCCAGACTCTGCTCTTGCTAGATTTTTTTCTGGCTTTCCGTGTTTTCTTCTAGAGCATGAACAGATCCAAGAAACAGCCCATCAAATCCACTCAAGCACCATTCTCCCTGTAGAATTGGACAGAGGGCTGAGGGAAGGAGGCCGACAGGTGGGGTTTTGGGAGAGGAATGATATTCCTTCACAAAGGGGTGTGGACAACGGGGCCCACCCTCCCCTCTGGCTTCCTCACCGTAGGCCCATACTTTTTATACCTGTCCCAGAAAGCTTAAACAATTTAGAATATGCTTTGCTATCCAGATGCTCCTCTACACAGGCTGTGGCATGTATCAAATGCGTCTACTTCCCAGCAAGGTGACAAATTTGCCCCAACTCTAGCTAATTGCATCAAGAGCGCTACACTATTGGCTGAGAGGGTGAGGAGGGAGGGAGAGGATAGTCAAAGAAAAATCACTGCAGGCTCAAAGTCCAGCAGACATTGTGCTTCGTGGGAAGGAGGGCTGGGCCCCTCCACCACTACCTTTTAGAGTCTCAGGAGACATTCACTGTTCTGGTTTCTCCTCTCTAATCCAGTTTGCTTCATCAACTAGTCTCCAATTGACCTAATCTCCCCCATTCTTTTTTCTGCATTGTAGTTACCCAGTACTGGTAGAAGAACACTGAAATGAAAATCTGAACACCTAAGTTCTAACACCAGCCTCTGTGGCCTTATGCATCATCTAACTTTATGGGCCTCTGTTTCCTTATCTAAAATGAGGCGATCAAAGTAGATCAGGAAAAGGAACAATGTTTTCTGTCATGTGTCAGCTCTGACAAAGAGCCCTTCCTGGAAGGGCAATGGGGAAGACTGTTCTGAGGGCTGGATCTGAAATCAGCAAGGAAGAGTGATGTGATTGATTAGCAATGTCTGCCACTGGTGTGGGAGTCGGTGCTGTAAAATATATATCATGCTTTCGCCATCCTTGAACTTTCTCCTCTCGACTGTCGCTTCCAGGTGGAGCATTTGATGACCCCTCACATCATTCCCTCACACACTTAATGTCTTTATCATTCATTCAGAACTGAATTATGGGCTATTTTGTATTTTCCTCTCACTGCTTGATGTGTATTCGTCTTGGTTCTCTAACTGGACTGTAGGTTTTTGGAGGGGGCAAGGGGTATGTCTAGAATGCCCGGCATAGCACTGAATCACAAAGCCAATGTTCACAAAAGTGTCAACACATTCAGGGGCTAATTTTCAAGATGTTGGTAAGTAAGAGAAGTCAGTAATTCCCTGAGCTCACTGGAACGCAGTGCCTTCCCGTTGGCTGAACACTATGATTTGGCTCCTACTTGGAAAGAGAAGAAGAAGAAGAAAAAGAGGAGGAGGAGGGGGAGGACATACTGCCTCTTACTCCACTATTCAGTAGGTTAAATAGAAACACATAAAACAATGAGTAGACAGGGCCTGGTCTGACTCACACTAGGAGGCTCTTTCCCCACTTACTCTCCCCACGGTTTGGAAATATAATACGATGCTTCATCACAGCATCCTTCATCACTGCAGAGAGTGATGCTATGGCCATCATATCAGCTGTATCAGATCTGGGGAACTGCTACTCTTTTCCCTGTCCTCCCACTTTGTATCTGTGTGGAGGCCAGAGATTAGAACAAACACGGCCATGACACAAAATTCATTCCGCCAGGTCCCTCAAAGGTCATTTCACCCTTTAATATTTGTTCTGTACTAATTGAATTCTCTGTTTCAATTGACTGTTCTAATCAGAAAAGTTCAAGGTAAGGTAGATAATGCATTTCTACTTATGTACATGCAGGGATGACATAATGCACTGCTGATATTAGCCACAAAAACAGATATTTCAAATAGAACATACTCCCAAATCCTATTGAAACATTGTAGCTCAGGCCTTCAGGCAGCAAAAAAGAAGGAAAGAAACAATTGTTATTGCATACTAGCCATTTGAAGTCTTACCCAGACCAAACAAGACCAGAGAGAGAAAATTCTCAGCATTTGTTCACTTAGTCAACTTCCATCTTTTTAGATCCATTGTAGAAATGAAAGAGTGAGGAAATTTCGCCAAGTCATTTTGAGGGGGAAAAAACATCAAAACCCCAATACATGCACAGAAATGGCAATCTGTACAAATAAATCACAAATTTTCCCAACTGGGTTGCAATTCAATGCAATGAAAGAAAGGCCTTCATGGAAGATGAGGTTTTAACAGCATCAAAAGGTTCCTGTGCAAAATAGATCCTTCAAATCCCCAGGACGGCACTTGCCACTAATTAGTTCTGTTAGGTCTTTTGACATCAAGTTCAAGGAATCGCTGCTAAAAATTCCAATTTACGAAGCAAACACCCAGGCAACCTAAGGCAGCTATTCAGATTTACATTTAAGAAAACCTGATGTTGTTGTCCACCTCCCTGTGGTAATTTTTATTTATCAACCACTCCAGGGAAGCAGCCCACATGATTCAAGGGTAAAGGAGACTAGTTTGTGCAGAAAGGTTAAGTAACTAAAAATATATGTACAACGTGGCTTCCAGGGAAAGAGGAGGTGGTGGAAAACGATAAATATAAGTTTCCGAAGAGAGTAGACAAGGGGGAATGGCTGAAGGGGGGTTTCATGAAAGGGGTATTTTACCAAGACAAATGGGGTAAATGCAGCTAATTAAAGGGAAACACAGTGTGCAAATGGGAAAACAATTTTTCCATAGGAAATTTTGATTTTGAAGCTGCAAAAAAATCAGATGGGGGAAGGGAGGGGAGGGAGGTTGTGGAGTACATTTGGGTTAGAAAAATTGTTGGCTCTTATATTCATTTTTAGTACTGGTGATTAAATCGAACAAATCTTCATGCGTTCTCACATTCAATTTTAGGACGGATGATTAAATTGTACAAATCTTTGTAAGTTCTTATATTCACTTTTAGGTCTGATGATTAAATTCAACAAATCCTTATATATTCTTACATTCATTTTTAGGAGTTGTGATTACATTGAATAAATCTTTATAAGGTACCTACAGATAAAAAAAGTAACAATTCACTACATTGACAAAAGTTTAAAAAAATATACAGACATAACAACAATTTCCGAATTCAGGTGAACAAAACTTCATAGTTCCATTCATGAGATCCTGAATTCTTGTATTTTTCTGATTCCACATCCCCCCACCAAAGTGACAGTTTCCAAGTTTAAAACACTTGTAGATTTTTTTTTTTTTTTTTTTAGCAATGAGCTCCAAACAAAAGGACATTAAAAAGGTAGACTCTTCTTGAAAAGTATATGAGAGCTTCCTTTTCCTGAAAAATGAAAACCAGTTTTCAGGAAGTTCTGCTTACCTGGAAGACTCCACAAACCAGAAACTTCCAGAGTTCTTAATTTTTTTTCCAGCTCAGCCACACGATTCCCTAGGATTCTGGAAAAGGGGAGAAAATGACATGAACATCCCATCAGCTCTCAGGGCTGTGAGGTGGCTATCTGGGAAGCCCATGAGTGCCCTAATAAGTTTAGCATATATACTAAAAATGGAGCATTTGTTTGTATGTATGTATGTATGTGTGTGTGCATAAATAATATATACTCTATTGAAAGAACATATAAAAATCAAAAAGTAAAATGAATGATTAAAAAATAAAATAAAGAGGTCATTCATGTTAGTCCTCTCCCAAAACATAGTTCCCCTGGGAAGCTAAATAATTATTCCACCACTGCCCAAAACATCTTATAGAATTTCTGTTTGGGAAGTGCTCATTTTTAAAGATGACAATGAATTGTGAAAATCCTTAGCAGTGTCACACTTTGGTTCTTTGGGGTGGATCTGACTTGTGGAAACAACCAAGTCTAACAAATAAGACTGGTGGGCACACTTGGTAATGTTGCTTTGAGTTAGTAAATAATCATATCAGACCCAACTTTTGTGTTAGTGATGTCCATATTCTTGATACCTAGCACAATGCCTGACAGGTGCTCAATACATATATTTAATTAAATAAATGCTTTTCCTTTTTCATGGCACGTAAGTATCTATGGAAAGAATAACGAGTAGGTATTTCAAAAGAGGTTTCAATAATTGCAGAATCATTAAGATAATTAGGCTGCTTTCCAAGGTGACTATTTTGACTCACTGGGATATATAAGTGCTGGAATGTGCATTTGAAAAGATCATATTGTTTACTTGGAAGTCAAACTTTGTCTATATGCATGGATAGACATGTGGGCATACATTCTTCCCTTTCACTTTATACAAAATTTAAATATAGTTGGGAAATGATTTGATAGTCATCTAAAACTTCAATCAGTTTCCTTTGGCCTGGAAATTGAAAAAATAGTCTTTACTTTATTTTGGGGATTTTCTTAGCATTGCTGTGCTAAAATGATGTGGAAATCACCTTAATAGCAAAGTTTCAATTCCTTTCAGCAGGATAAATCAGAACACCAGAATTATTCTCCTGCCTCTCTTTATATTCCAGAGATAGCTGCACACACCCACATACACACAGAGACATGAATATGTATATATCTGCACATATATATGGCTTTGGATTCAACCTCATTTTACCTGAATTGACTTGTACCATCTTAATTAATATTCCCTTTGAGTTCACAGAAAACTCCAGAATTACTATGTGTGGTTTTCTTCATCTAAATACTTAGAGCTTTTCTTTTCTTCTTTAAGTCTTAAAATTCTGCATAGTCTTTATCAATTACGTTCAATTTTCACTCCGTTTGTTGGGTCTATTTTGCTTTCATGTCCCTGACCCTTCAATAGACACTATTCTTCGTAATCTCATTTTCAATATTTTGCACAGACCTTCTGATCCAAGCTCCCTTTTCACCAGCTGATGGGTTTGAGATGCAATCACACCAGTGCTCAAGCTGACGCCTGTTTCTTAACAAGATCAGATCATCTGTATGTGGCTGCCTCTTGGAAACAAAAGATAAGGCTTAACTCTTCCGTGGATGCCAAGGGATGCCATCTGAGCGACGTTCAAAGGTGTGGTGAAGAGACATTTGGTTATATTTTTTCTGATGTTTCTGGATAGCACAGCCTTCCCCTCAGAAATGGGATGAAGTGAGTTTGCTACTCTCCCCAAAAGTCTACCTTCAGGGACCTTGCCTACGTTTGTCAGTAATGGCTGTGTTCTTTGGCCTGACCCTTACTAGCATCTGATGCAGGGCTGGGGGTAGTAAAATGGATGCAGTAGAAGTTATGGCAGTAGAAATAATAATAGTAGCACATCAACAACAATAGCTACTGCACTACTGTTAACACAACGGCCAACTGATCTTTCGTGAATCGTCTGTATGAGTCCCAGGCCATGCTGAACACCTGCCTCACTTGCATCATCTCACCTAACTGGCAAAAGCCCTGTGGTGTGCACTGTATTACCACCCTCCTTTATGCATTGGACTCTATGTAACAGAAAGGTTAAGCAGCTTGGCCAGGACACACAGTTTATCTAAAGCTCTCTCTTTTCCCAGCTCCTAGCGATCTCATCCCCCACACTCTCTCTCCTCTTCCAGTTAGGAAACAGAGGCAAAGAAGTCACTTAACTCGATCAAAAACACATGCAGGACTCAGTTGGCGGGGAGTCTGGATTGGAACCCGAGCCTCCATTTGCCTCTGAAGCACATGCTCTTAATCCACATCCCATAACGGCACTTGAAAGCAAGCCTTCCCTTGCTCTTTCTCATGCCTGCACCAATACTACTTAAAAACTGTTCACATTGAAATACGGATGCAGCCACAGCTGACTCACAAAATATAACTCAAGATGCTTCAAGTGACAAAGAGGGACCTCCTGGCCAGCTTCACACTGAAAGAACACGGCAGGGAGCCCGCAGAGCCTGGCGTGACACAGCCCAGGGAGAGGAGAGGGCCTATTTAGTCTTTCTAGCCAGTGGTACTGATGGGTGGAGAAGGAAGAAGTCAAAAGAGGGTGCATTTGACTCAGTTTGACCTATTCAACAAACAACTCCTCAGGCCCAACTCTCTGTAGAGCACCGTGCCATAGGATATAGGGGGTGATGAAAAGAAGTGGACCCTATCCCTGCATTTGAAGGACTAACAGTCTGGTTGGGAGACAGACACATGCATACACACAAACTCACGTGCAGTGCCAGTGGAAGGCTTAATTAATAGCTGCTATTTATTAGTCACTCCTTCTGTACCAGGTTTGCACGCACACTCCGTAAGTGTCTTGCAACAGCTGACGAGGCAGCTCTTATTAGCCTCATTTTGTAGATGAGGGAACCAAGGCTCAGAGAGGTCAGCTAACTTGCCCAGGGTCACACAGCTCGTAAGCAGAGGAGCCAGACATAACCTGGGCCTGAGAATACACAATTCCTTCAGAAGAAATGCAGAGAACTGCAGGGCAAACTGGAAGATGAATCCAGAGAAACTGGTAGGGACCCAGATCATGAATGATCTTGTTGCCATGCTGAGAATGTTCAGACGTTTATACATTGGCATGCGGGAGTGTGAAAGGGTTTCAGCAGGGCAGTAGCATAAGGAAGTTCAGGCAAAGTATTCTTGAGGCGCAGTTGAGAATGGTCCAGAGCAGAAAGAGCAGCCAGAAGGGCACCACCCAGGTGGGGGTATGGCCCAAGCCAAGCCAGTGAGGATGCAGAAGGAATGGGCGATGGTAAGGAGGTAGGTGAGGGGTTTGAGATGCCTGCGAGGTGCCCACACAGACACGCTGGATCTACGGGGAAAAGGCAAAGGCCTGAGAGTGCAAAGCTGAGCGTGCAGGGGTGCGTGCGTGCGCGCGTGTGTATTTGCCAGATCACCACCAGAGTTGCCAAGTCGGGACAGGGCACTAGATGCCTCCTGAGGAAGACAAGAGAGGGCTGGAGAAGGAACAGTTGGAGGGGAAGAGGAGAGCTGGGGCAATGTGGGGCTTTGGAAGCCATGGAGAGAGAGTTCAGGTGGGTAAAGGTGGGGGGTCAATACTGTCTTATTCTAGAAAGCGGCCACGCAGGAGGGAAGTTGAGGAGAAGCTGCTTAGAAAGAGAGATGATTCAGGTTAGCAGAAGGGATGAAATTCAGAATCCAAGTGGCAGAGCTGAGACAAAAGGCAACTGAGAGAAAGATGAACAGAGATGACTCTGTGCGTAGTTTAGCAGGGAAGAGGAGGAGACAACTAGGGCAGTAGCTTGAGGCATAAATAGGCTTGAGAGAATTTTCTTCTTTTTTTTGGTAGGATGGGGGAGATATTAAAATAAAGTTTTCATGTAGTTGTGGGTTGCTTTAGGACAGGGGGATCTCGGCATATGTCCACTCAGCAGTCTAGGAAAGTCCTCCAGAGGCCAGGCCTCCAGACAGACTCCTCGGCAGTGGTTTCAGATAATGAGGACACCATCGAGGGTGGGATTAGGAAGCTGCAAAGCCAGGATTAGGTCAAGAACTGGCCACTGCTGTGCCTGCTCTCTGGACAGCACGGGGGGGGGGGGGCAGGATCGCCTGGGAGGGTCTTTGCAGGAAGTCTGGCTGTAAAGGGAAAGCAGCTGGCGGTGGTCCCTCCCCCCTGGAGCCGCCCCTCCCACCACACCCGCAGATCTCTGCTCTGATCCACGACACCCCCTTCTCGCTGCTCCCCAAGATCTGGAACTTCCGAGCTCATTCACCACTGGCCAGGGAGGGACAAGAGGCAGCAGCTGTAGGCACAGCGGGAAGGGCACAAGGAGGCCGCCACGTCCTCACGTATTTACCATCCCCACCCCACCATGGCAAAGTCACGGGCTTGCTGGGCGGGACACGAGAACCATGTGGTGTGCGGTTGAGACCCGGCTCTTACAGCGGCCTCCTCTACGAGTGCTTTGCCACCCAGTTTAAAAGATAAATGAACCTCATCCCTTCTTCAGCCATCATCAGACAACTGCCAACGCATTGGCAAGAAGTCCCTCAAGCAAATTGCCCATTAATTGAACGTCACTCAAAATGTGAAGTGCTAGGTTTCTTCATCAATTCTTCGAGATGGCTCCCACCGGACCCTCTCAAGGGGGGCAACTGTCAGGCAGTAGAAAGCCAGCAGGGGAGCACATGCTAACAGAAAAGAACACCTTCATTCCCATTTATAATGCGCCAGCAAAACAAAGCTATTTTATTATTTCAGTTACAAAAGGCTAAATCGTGGGGAATAACAGCAAGAAGACCAGACTCACATTCTATTCTTAGCCCTCACTCCATTTGTAGTATAATTAGTTTCTTTACATGCCCCCAAATAAAACATTTATTAAAAGTTTGAAACGTAAGACTTTCTAAGTATTAAAGATGGCACATTAGGCACCTTATGTACTGATCTGAAGCAATCTCTAAGATCTATTGTCACAGGGGAAAAAAGCAAGGTGCAGAACAATGAAAAAAAAAACCATTTTTTTTGCATGAATACTAGTCACCATTTGTAAAAAAAAAAAAAGAATATGTCTATATAAATATATGAGTGTTTATGTGTGTATATATAAATATGTTATGTACTTGCTTATCTTGTCTATGCATCCTTTGGAAGGGTATATAAGAAATAAGGAATGGTAGTTTCTTCCAGGAAGGGGATTTGCGTATCTGAGAAGAGCAGTTTGGAGATACACTGTTGTTTGACATTTTAAAATTTAAAGCACGATGGCTCAAAAATTAATAAAAATAGTTAAACATGCAAAAGCACATTAAAACAAAAATAAACATGGCCAAACGAACATGTCTGTCTTTCTCAATAGAGGGAGAGAGTGCTGTGAACCTGGAGAATGCGTGTGTTTGTGGTGGGTATGGTTAGGAGATTAGGAAATCAATCTGTCAGAAGAGGCCAGAGTCCTCCACAGAAGAGTGTCGAGCCAATGGCAGCCTACAGATCCTGCCCTTGGCAGGCAGTGGGGACTCAGCGCGGCTTTGCGGTGAGGCTTGTGATGTGCTCAGAACTGAATTGGCAGGCTGGGAGGAGCGGGTGGGGTGTGAGGATGGAGGGTATGGAGGGTCTCCCCAAGGAAGAGGTGATGATCTGGGGGAAGGAGGCAGAAGGGGCAGGAATGAGAGGCACCCTGAAGGCCCATGGTAAGCACTTAGGAAATATGTATCCAATAAATGAATGCGGGAAAGTCATGAAGCTCAGCAACCACCTGGATGTGTGCGCTGAGGGAACAAAAGGAAAAGGTTAGAAGACGATTCAATCATCCTTCATGAAGTCATCAGGAGCACTTGCCGTGGGCCCAGCACTGGTCTGAGCACTGGGAGACAACAGAGACTGAAACGACCAAACAATGGATGCCAGGGACAGCAAGTGACATGGAATGTATCTAACCTGGGTGTTACGATGGAGGACACAGCCCATTAGATATTCTTTAAATCATGCTTTAAATGGTTGTATAATATTCCATTTCATGCATTTGCCATAATTCTAACCATGCTCCAATTAGAAGACATTTGGGTTTCCATTTTTCCCCCTTATCAATGAATCCATAGTAAACAAGCTTATATATATACATCTTTAGGGTATCATTCTGGATTTTTTCTTAAGGATAAACTCCTAGAATCAGACCATCTGGGTCAAAAAGCACAAACATTTTAAAGTGTTTTAAAACATCCTAAGGAATGGATGTCGACTCATTGAATTTGAGGAGCGGGAAGGTTATCTAGAGAAACTGTCCCCCTTGCAGCTGGAAATGTGGGTCTTGCCCTTGACCAGGTGGTAGGGACAAGAGATCTGAGAAGAGTCTGCAGAGAGTGAGAGGCAAAGACAGAGACAAGGAATGAGGTCCCCGAGGTGGGGGAAGCAGAGGAGAAAGAGAGAAGAGGTCAGGTAGGCCTGTGGTGGGGGTGGGGAAGGGAGGAGGTGGGAACAGGACAATTTCCATCTTTAAACCCAGTGAAGATGAAGATAGGTTTCCAAATGGAAATCTGGATGTGGAAAGAGACTCAATGGAGGCAGTCTGTGGATGCTGGTGACCTGCAGAGAAAGAATGCAGCTGACAATGCAGGAAGAGGTCCTGGGAGGTACCGAAGCCAAGGTCATCCTGTGCATGGATTCCCTTGGGCTTACTAGTAATAAAATCCAGAACTCCAACCTTCCCTCTTGCAAATCCCTCTGAATCTGCATTTCTAAACAAGCACCCCTGCACCTCCCAAAAAAGTAATTTTTACACCCTCTGCCCCAACTAGAACATGCTTACATAGGGAGGCTGTTGAGGAAGTGGAGGTGGTCTTCCTCATAAAGATTCCAAGTGAGTGGAATTCCTGGGAAGGCAGCAGGGCTGAGGAAAGGTTTTGGGGGTGGAGGGTGAAGAGGCAGAAGCCAAAGGAGGGCAGGAAGTTGAGGAGATTGAGAGAGGAGGTCCCAGAGGAGCAAAGGCCCTGGCAAGAAAAGGAGAGGAAAGAGGGTGGGCGGTGCCCTTCCTGGGGGAGGGAGCAGAGGGAGGGAGCGCTGGCTTCAGGGCAGCAGCACATTGAGGGTCTCAAGACAAGAAGTCTCATTTTCTCAGTGAATGAGGAGCAGAGGCCACCTGCTGAGAACAGACGGGCTCAGAAGACACAGAAGGCTTGAAAGAGCCCCACCGAGGCACGCAGTTGGGGGGCGGGTCACGAGGGGACACGTTCTGCTGCCCAGCCTCCCCGTTCCTCCTTCCTCCCTTCAGAAGTATCTGAATTTCAGCATCTGGCTTTTCATCCTTCAGCTGAGATTTCATTTTTCAAGAATGTTTAAACCTTCTCCTGTCAATAAATTACCCTTGTCATCCCTTCGCGATTGCCCTGCCTCCCCTTGCTGCTCTCTGCTTCCTTCCACATACATCTTAATCTCTTGTGCGATCTTCCCCTCACTCTCTTTCTTCTATTTTGTTTTTACAATGTTTTCAATCATCTCCCAGCTGCCCCTCTCCCGTGCCCCATCCCCCACCCCGCTGGGCCCCCAGCCCCCGCTCCCTCCCCTCCTTGCAGGAGGTCTAGCTCCCCTGCCCAGTTCTCCCACACTTGCATTGTGGCGCCCCCTGTAGGTCTTTCAAGCAGGACCGGCTAAGTAGTTTGCAGGGCACAGTGCAAAATAAAAATGGGAGATCCCTTGTAAAAGAATGATGAAGAATTCCAAGACGGTGACAGCAGAGCATCAGACCAAGCTTGGGGACTTTCTGAGCAAGGGTTGCACACCCATGAAATATCTACACACTCCATGTGTAATATCTATTGTTTTAACTTACTGTTTATTCACCATGCTCTGAACATGTTCTTTCTTTTCTTTTCTTTTTTTTTTTTGGATACAGAGTCTCACTCTGACACATGGGCTAGAGTGCCGTGGCATCAGCCTAGCTCACAGCAACCTCAAACTACTGGGTGCAAGCAATCCTCCTGCCTCGGCCTCCCGAGTAGCCGGGACTACACGCATGTACCACCATGCCCTGCTAGTTTTTTATATTTTTAGTGAAGACAGGGTCTCACTCTTGCTCAGGCTGGTCTTGAACTCCTGGCCTCAAGTGGTCCTCCCACTTTGGCATAGGATTGGCCTAGGAGTGCTAGGATTACAGCCGTGAGCCACCACGCCAGCCTGAACACTTGCGATTTTGCCTCTGTCATCTCTAATGGCCACATCAATCTACTTTAAACTTGCTTGATTTTATACACCATAGCCAGCATGCTGTAAAAAACAGATAGACATTCTGCTCTAATTACTACTGTTCCTCTCCACCATCTTTTTTGCTCATCTGGAAGAGTGACATGAGATTCCCTTATAGGCGCGGCTGCCTGTGGCCGTTGACGCTTGGGTGGTCCCTGCCATTCAAAGAACCTCAGTGTCACACTGTAAAGTTCCAAGGGCATTGAGGCAGTTTCTCCCCTAAAAGGTGACCTGGAGGAGATGAGGTCAAGTCAGCCAGGCAATTACCCTATGGAAATCACCCATGCAATATGAGTCACTCGGTGCATGGCTCAGAGTGCAATGACCAGTACTATTTCCTTGCTTGACTCCAGCTGGTAACCAAGTTATTGATACAAAGCAGAAGCACCATTTTAGTTTAATACATTTCCTTCTAGATGTGAGGGGTCTCCTTCCCTTCATGCCCATGCCTCCACCTGGGCGACATTCACTCTTGGTAGCCTCATCTCACTTCTCTCGTGCACACCCCAAACCCAAGGGTCCGGCCACTTACTTGTTGGTTTGCCTCTGATGCTGAATGACCATGTTTTTCTCGTGGATTGTCTCTAACAGGGCTGTTGCCAGAGATTTCAGGTCAGAAATGGACTGTGGAGTTGCTGGGAGACTGCATCCGTGATCCTCAGACAGCAAATCCTGAACTAGGTGGAATACGAAATTTATAACTCAGTCGTAATTCTTCTGGAACACTGGGATCCAAACCAATGTTGCTTCTCTCTGGACAATGAATGGTTCCCAGCTTCTAAACACTAGTATCTTATATGGAGAGGCCACCTCGAGTGTCCAGAGTAAAACAAAATAAAATCCAGCATGAGGGCCAAACAGAAAGGAGGAAGTCCTCACGGACTTCTATCCGTGATTTTTACAGAGAATGATAATATTTGCATTTGTCTGGGACTTTAAACAATGACATATCAACTAACTCATTGAGACTTAAAATTGGAAGGAAAAAAATGCTGGGAAGTATTATTTCCATTTCATGGACTGGAAAACAAGGTGTAGATGAATTAAGGGCCCTGGCTGAAGGTCATGCAGCCATGCCAATGACAATGACACCTAGCCCTGAGCTCCTTGCTTCATGTCAGAATTTCCCACGCTGAGATATCCTTGGCAGGTGGCAAGATAATTTAGGAGATTATTTAAAGTGCAAAATACATTTCATATTTTAATAGCTTTGTATTTATTTGAAGGTATTATAGAAAGGAATATAAATGGCATAACAAACCAGTGATTTCACAGATGCTACTATTAATACTTAGGACAAGGCCAAGTAAAATGAGTCACTTTAAAATTGATTCAAAGAAAAATATTAAGCAAATAATAGCAAGGCGAAGCATAGATATAGCAAGAGATTTCATAGCAGACTGCAAACGTCTAAATGTTGGGAAAGAGTACATTACACAAAGGCTAGCTGTTCTTGGATGCTCATTATTCCACAAACTGCCAAACCACATTCATGGCCAAGTTCAAAATGAAGCCAAACAACACACACAGTTCAGTGTAACTGAAGGACTCAGACCCATTTGATGTGGCCCATCTCCTGTGCATACCCCTATCCTGGATGAGTCTCTGTTGGTAAATCTGCAATCATCTATGGACAGCTTTGATAGAAAATTCTTTTTTATTTTTTGACCAGTTTCAAAAGTGTTTACTTAAAAAAAAAAATCATTTCTTATTTGTTTCCATGCCACTTATATAAAGGAATATTCCAGGTGTGGTTTGACAAGTTTAGCACATAGTAGGACTATCACTTCCTTTATTCCAAATGTCATGCTTCCGTTAACATAATGTAAGGTTTTCTTAGCTTCTTTGGCAATGAAATGCACCTGATGAGTAATACGAGAACAGTGTCTACTAAAATCTCTATGCCTTTTTCACACGCGAGGCTGCTAAACCTCCGCTCTCCCATTTATGTCTGGCTGGACTCAACATTGCTTAAACCGTTCTCAGAGGCCGCTGGCCCCAACCACAGCATGGGAACAATCTATACACACAACTGCTGCTGCTTCTCCCACTGTCATTTCTACCCTTGGGTCAATCAGATGGTCCTGCGTATGTGTCCTTTCTGACTCTGAATGTCCGTTCTTCAAGTCTGGTTTGGATTTTTTGATGCACTCTTTAAGGGCAGACAAACTAAGAGATAAATAAAAAGACAACAACAACTGGTACTTCCCTACCAGATAGAAAAAAAAAATTAGTATAAATCTTTCATTATATATTTTTGAATACCATTTTCTATATGACTATACACAGATATACAAATTCGTACAATGTTTTTTCCTTAAAAAATGGGGAAAAGCCCCACTTTTTTCACTTAATATTTAATAATATTCTTCATAATTAATATCCCATAAAACCTAAAACCTAATGACTGCTGGACATTTACGGCGCCTCCAAGATTTTTTATTATGACTAATGTACGAAAAACTTTCTTGTAGCAAAATGTTTGCAATATGTCTAATTATTTCTTGCTGGTTCAAAGACGGCCAGTTTGAGGCTTTTCATAATAGGTTGCCATAGATTCGTATATTCCATTGACCAATGCCAGTAGATTGTTGGTGGTATGCCTCTCATAATAGGTGTTCTAGTAAGGGTGTGCCAGATTTGCAGTTCTGCCACAGCGTTTGTGTGTGGCTGGCATCCCTCACATCCATGACAACACTGGGTACCAACATCCAAAGATGGTTTGCTATATATGGTATCTAGATCTAAACTTAGATGGGCTACTTCACATTTTTATAGAGTATTGTAGTTTTCTTTTTAAAAACAATCCTAGGGTGTTCTTTTCTGGTTGAGTGGAAAAAAGAAGTTGCTTGGAAAAGAGCCTTGGTTGTTATGTAGGCTGGAGACTCAGCACTTTTTTTTAAGCCACTCCAGCGCTGATTAAGACCGCCACATGATAGCTGCTGGGCTGCACTATCAACAACCAAAAAGTGGGCCAACCGAGCATGTTCAACTTGAGGCGTATGCTTAGAACTGAATTCCAAATAGTAAGTGTCAGAAGCAAGCTCTCTGCTATTTATTCCCCTGGACTGTTCCTGGAAGATCATTATTTTTCATTGGAATCGACAAGAAGGAGGCACAAAATTGCAATCAATAAAAGCTTCTTTGAAAAAGGCACCTATTCCATGATAAGATGCTTTCAGCAGCTATGGGACTTTCTGTTCTGATCATAGAGGCCAGGAAAAGGAGAAACTCAAGGAGGCTGAAAGACATCCTTTGAGATGCTAAATTGGTCATTAAGGAAGGGAAAACATTCTGGAAAGGAGAACACAGTATAGGGGAATATACCCAAATGGGGTCCAGTCATTAGAAAAACTTCCAAGGCAGCGGTTCTCAAAGTGGGGTCCCTGAACCAGCATCAGTATCACCAAGGAACTCTTTAGAAATACAGTACATATTCTCAGGTCCTACCCCAGATCTACTGAATCAGAAGCTCTGGGGTGGGGCCCAGTAATCCGTGTTTTCCCAAGCCCTCCAGGTAATTCTGATGCAAGTGGAAGTTGGGGAACCCCTGCTCTAAGGAGCACCGTGGCTCCCAATCCACAAAACCAGCAGTTTGGAAGAGACCAGCATTCTACGCTCACAAGCGGCCCCTCCCGGAGCACAGGATCCTACCTTGCTTTGCTGACAGGACTCCTGTCAGAGCGCTGCTGCTGGATTTGCCCTGGCCCTTTGAGTTTTTCCGTCTCTCGAGAGCATTCTAAAGCAGCATTGGGAGAGAAAAAACCCACTGTCAGAAAAGCCAATAGTGGAAAAATACCAAGGAGACGCACCCTCTCCCGGCACACAGGAACTCCTTGCAAACTCCAAGTGCTGGCTTAAAACTTAGAACTAACTCCAAGTCCCTGACAAACAGTGATAATGATCATGGGCCTGATCAAGAGCTTTTTTGTAATGGTGGCGCATGGCAGAATGACAGCAATTACAGTCCCCTGTATACAAAAGGCACTCAATGCATGTTTGTTAAATCAAATCAAATCTGAAGCAAGAACACAGTTTAATGTGTGAAGTCATAAGTTATGGAAATCCTTTCTGAATAGACATAGACGGTGACTAGGGTTATTTTCATATGCCAATGGTGGTATCCGGAGGAATCTTATGGCTGGATTGGAAAGAAAGCCACGATCGATCAGTGATGTCTGCCGTGGACACAGATTAAGGAAGTGCATATGTGCCACCTACGTGTCATCCCTAGAACAGACTCTTACATTAAAATTAATATGTAGTACATAGCCAGGGCTTGGCACATAGAACTGAATAAATATTGTTAAATGAATGCATCCATGCATTTAAAAAAATTATGTATTAATTATGCAACTTTAAAAGCTATCTCCTTCCTTGGCTGCATGCGTATATATAGATGGGTGTAAATGAAAGTGTGGCCAGACAGAAGGGAAAGGAAGAGCATGCAGGCTTCTGAGAACAACTGCTAATGTCAGACGCCAGGAAAATAAGGTTCTCCCAAGCAGCTAGACGGCTGTAAAACTTCACCCTCAGGAAGAGAAATCCATCTATTTTCAAAGCAGAGAAACCCAGGAGATTTTTCTAATTATAACACTTACAACTAACATCTGCAGAAATAGATATTATCAAACTAATGGTGCTGGAATTAGACTAAATAACAGTGGGGAGAATTTAAACGCTCTGTTCTTTCAGTGTGACGTGAACATTATCGTTTAGATTGTGATTTCCCAACCTATGTTTCTTCATCACTTGGAAACCATTTTCGTATGGATGATTATGAGACAAATAGCATCCGACGACTCAACGTTTCATAGAGAAAACAAATAAGAAACCTAACGTGGACCGAGGCTGCAGAGTGGATGAGCCCACATTCCGGTGGTCTCAGCGCGCCTTGTTCAGATAACAGCCGCAGAAAGAGCACTTGCAAAAGCCGCTTTGGTGTTGTTTGCTGTTGTGTTCAATTTTTCCTGGTTACCCCAGTTGAAGCTCTTATTGGATTCTATCTGGGAGGGCAGGCTAGTACTAAAATATCTTTGGCACATAAAAAAGAATTAAAATAGAATGACATTTAGATGTACAATAGTGAATCATCATCATTGTCATTATGGTTTTTCTACCTTGTATTTGGCAATGTTCGATTTCAAGAGGGTGACCTCTTCGTGGAGCTGCTTTAATCTCTCTTGAAGGTACCTGGGAAAGAATATATTTAACTAGGACGTATTTGGGGGAAAAAATAATAAAACAGACACTAAAGTATAAGAGGGAAAAACAAAAACCACTTGCCAGAAAGAGTCCTCTTTTACAAACCACACCTCCCTCGCCTGCTCACCGCAGAAAAGAGGACAAAAATGTGCATCTTTTTGACCTTTTCTTAAATGGATGCAGTCAAGGTCAAACATGTCCAAATCCCAGACACCCCACTTTCAAACAGCCCTTGCAGAGACCCCTAAGGGATGTCAACACAGTTTTCACATAATTCTCATTAAGATGATTCCGCTGGGAAGTGCGGCAGGAAGAGGCGACGCCAGACACAACATTAAGTTAGACAGACACACACACACACACACACACACACACACACACACACGCACACACGCACACGCACACACGCACACGCACACACGCTGAAACTTGCCTCGGGGAAAAGGAACAGCTAAGGGAATTTCTCAATTTATTTTCTTATTCTTTTCCTTCTCCTTGATAGCAATAACAAGCAGCTCTCACTGGCTTCTCACCCAACCAAGGGGGTGTGAGGGAAGAGAGAAGGGGACGGGCACACAGGTGTGCAGGTGTGTGTGGTTTTTTTTTTTTTTTTTTTTTTTTTTTTTTTTTTTTTTTTACAACTAAGACACGACATTGGTATCATCGTTTTGGGGTTGTGACTTTCTTCTTTCTTGCTTAAGGCAGTTTTCTCCAGCGTACCCTGGGCTATCCTAGCTCCCAGCCCGCAGGCCCGTGGGGCGGGCAGCCGGGTCCCGCCCGGCGCTGGCCCTGGCCCGCCACTTGCCTGTTCTCCATGCACAGGGCATCCACGTCGATGATGCGGTCCTCCTGCCCGCCCAGGATGTGGTTGAGCTCCTGGTTCAGCCTGTCCACCTTGTCCTGGTAGGACGACCGCTCCTCCTTAACATCCTGAAGCTCGTCCACAGAGGCCTGCAGGTCATGCTCCAAAGACTCAATCTGAAATCACAGGAAGCGCCCCAACTTGAGACGTTCCTCAGACGTCCCCTTTATGGCCAGAGATGGAGCCTTCCGCCTGCTTGACTGACTTTTAGAGAGCTCATTATTAATAATATGAGCCGCATGCTATAAAACCATAAGTGCCACACATTGGAATACCATAAAAGCTAAAAGCAAGGGGATGACTTCCTGCCAGATACTCACTCTATCTGAGATGGGGAAGATGCAGCGGTGTGGAAAACCAGAACCGAAGCCTCACCTACCATAGGACGCCCTGCAGCCAAAGGCTCGCAGAGGGTGGATGCAGACATTGGGGATAGTCGCCCAGTGTCTCGCCAATCCATATGTTTTCAAACCCACTCTAGACCCAGGAATCTTGTTCTGCTCCTCAGAATCAGTTTGTAGGAGGAGGAATATGAAATTTCCTCCCATTTCCAATGAAATGGGTCTCTTAGCTGTTCCCTAAATAAGAGTTCCAGACTCATTGAGGTTTTGCCTCAGCATAGTAGCAGAAACTTCCAAATGAAGGCCAGTTCGTCACATTTTGCCCCCTCCCTGTCTATCCTGGGTAGGGAGAAAGTTTTGTGTTGTATTCAGAACAACAGCACCCAATGGGAAGCAGCTGACTTGCTGGACACCAGGAACCCAAGAGTCATCTTGGGAACCCCGCGCAGTCCCAAGGAAGCACAACCATCCGCCTTGCATTCTCCTTCCCCCTCTGACTTGCTCCCCAGGCAGCCAGTACTCTGAGAGCAGCGGGCACAGCCTACTCCAGTCGCCGTTGTGTTCGCCCCCCACCCCCACTCCAAACAGATGCCAGAGATAACCTGTTCCTTGGCTCTCTCCAGCTGCTGAACCAAGTCTTCACGCTCATGGGCTGCAAAGTGGCGCACGCCGATTTCTTCATCTCCGAGCCTCTGTTTGGCAATTGTCATCCTCAAGAGCTACATTTTCCATTAGTAGAAAAGGAAAAGGGGGCAGGGAGAGAGAGAAAGAAGGGAGAGAGAAAAAGAGGGGAGGGGGGAGAGAGAGAAAGAAAGAGAGAATGAATAGATCCAAATAAAACTCCCAAAACACTAGGCAGAAATTTTTTGGAAGATAAGTAAAATTCTTTCAAGAAATGCTGGGGGAAAAGCACAAAACAAAGAAATTATTTGCCAGTATCATGAATTTTTTAAAAAAATTGAAAAAATCTATTGTATTTTGTGCACACATGCAAACACACGATATAAGGAGGTCGGGGTGGGGCACCTGAGGTTGGCTGTCTGGTGGAACACTGTCACAGGAGGAAACAAACTCTGGGTCCCATTTAAATTTAGCAAAGACTCAAAAATGATAACCCAATGCTGGAAGGATCTGCTGAGATGGGCACCCTTCTCAACTTCTAACAATGAGGCAATGTTATCAATAGTCCTAAAAATGTCCCTACCCAATGATCCAATAACTCTATTTTTGACAATCTGAGCTAAGAATAATCCCAGACATGGACTAACTTTAGGGGGGAAAAGGTAGAGAATAAAAAACTAGAATAAAAAAACTAGAAACAATGTCTAGTAGTAGTAGAATGGTTAGCAAACTATAGTGCAACCAAGCAATAGACTAATTTACAGTCGTCTGCAAGGAGGCTTATGTGAACTATGTAATGCCATGAAACATGCTTGTGATGCCATGTTAAGTAGGGAAAGAAAGCAGAATACTAACTTTCCTGTACAGTATGATTAAAATTATACTACGAATTCACACATGCATGCACCGACACACACATGTACACAAAATGGCCAAACACACCAAAATATTAAAATGTGTAGGTTAAGCCATGGTGAGACTGCATGCTATCTGCTCTTTTGCTTTCCAACTTTTAAAAATAGGTGTGCATGAATTCCATAACATAATTTGATTTATATTTAAATCTCTAGGAATAAAATTCCACTCTTCTAAAATATAATTTTTCAAAAGATCCCTAATACACGACCCATGGCTTCCCCACATGCCAGGGCCAAGCCCCACTTGTAGTGACGAACCTTCCAGGCAGGGCTGCAATGGGAACTGCATGAGAGGCCCAGCAAGACCTGACGGTCCCAGAGCATCCCCTACCTGTCCATCACGGCGCCAAGCAGGCTGCCATTGAAGGGTGGCTTTTTAAAGTTACAGATCCTCTTCCTGATGCTGCTTCTATAGAGGATGTGAGCCTGATCCACATCTCCCTGCGGGGTGGATGTGGGTGGGTTTCATGTATGGACAAGGTCTTGGGGATAGTTTTTCATTGTCGCACTCATTCGACCCAGCCAGGAGTGGCTGCAGGGGGCATGCTCTTCCTCATTCCTGCATGAATCTTAAGGGATTAGTTGCCAGTAGAGAAAATGGCTTAATTTTCAGAGTCTCTGAAGGATTTATGGGCAGGTGAGAGATAGGAAGTTAATTCAAGCCAGGGCAGAATATTAACTAAATTGAAATAATAAATAACAGCAAGGAACTTTGAAAGAAATGATGACTAAAGAAAAGCAAAAAGCATTTTCGAATGACACTTACTCTGGGTCCTTCTTTGAAAACTACCCAATTGAACTGAGCAAACATTTGCCGTGTACCTCCCGGGAGCAAAAGCGCCACCGGGATTGGGTGGACAATAGCCCAGGAAGGAGGAACAGACTGTGCAAAGGCCGGCTGGGCAGAGGATGTGGAGCACTTGGGTATACAGATGGCTGCACTTACTGGAATCTGATTACAGTCAATCCTCATTGTTCACAGATTCTGCAGCTGTGAATCGGCCTACAGGACACAATTTATTTTTTTACCCCCAAATCGATACCTGCACTGCTCTCGTGGTCACAGTCGAACGTGTGCACGGTGGTGAACATTTCAGTCGCCTGACATGCACACTCCCACCAAGGATGCACAGGGCCATGTTCTGCCTTCTTGTTTCAGCTCTCGGGGTGTACACAAGTGTCCTTTTCATGGTCTAGTTAGTGCCACATTTTCCACATTTTTGTGCTTTTACTGGTAATTTTGCTGTTTAAAGCGGCCCTCACGCACAGTGCCGGAGTGCTGGCTAGTGTTCTAAGCGCAGGAAGCCTGTGGGGCGCCTCACGCAGGCAGTGTTAGAGAAGCTTCCTCAGGCAGGAGTGACAGTGCTGTTGAACTCGTTAGTTCAACGTTCATGAATTAACCATATATATTAAATAAGGCGACTTTAAACAGAGGCACACATAGAACAAGGTTATGACTGATCAGCTGACAAAACCGTCATGATCAGAGGCTCACAGGAACCTAACCCGGCATTTCCCCTAGGAGCGACGGCTCGGAACGGGCCAATTCAGTGTCTGCACTCACTTCACGGAACACGTTTACGGCAGAACTGGTTAATTCACCCGAAAGCTGATTTTAAAGAGAACATCTTTAACATCACACGATTCTTGGCTTGGGACATCAGAACCCCAAAAGTGGATATACAGAAAGACAGCCAGCAAGCCAAGTAGGAAACATTTCTCAGACCCGAGGGTCTAGGAAAAGCCAGCTCCTGGCCCATGGCATGAGGTGACAGGAGCCCAGTCCGTGCCTTTGAATACAGGGTATTTTCCTTGGTATGTGAAAAGCCAGACTGACAGCCTGAACTTTAAGTAATAAAACACCACTGTGGTTTTCTACTCAAAATACGCTTCACTGAACACTTAATTTAGAATCACACAATTACGTTTGCTTAATGCCAATTAATTATTAAACATGTTTATTGAGGTCTGACAGCCATATAAGAGAGTCATCTTTTATATACTGGATGCCGGTTAAGCTTCAATAAATATGTTAACAATCATTTGGTGTTTAATGTGCATTCAATATCGGCTGTTAAATCTCAGGGCCGGACGGGTGGAAACACTTAGTTTTAAAAGTGAGGCCCAAGTTGGTAACAGGTGGATCATTAGTTGGCTCTGAAACTCAAGTACAGCCAGCTGAGGGGGCCTAAGGCGGTCCCTGTAGGAGGGATGGCAGGGCCCCAGGGAGAGAGGTCTCCTGTCGTCCCAGATGATGACTCGAGTGCTCTGGAGTGGGCCTGTCTAGGGCTTGTACCCTGGCTCCACAGTCTGTGAGCTGTGCAACCTCAGGAATTTGTCTGAACTTCTCTGAGCCTCTGTAGCCTCCTCTGTAAAAACACAACAGTAAAAGTATTAGCCTCCTTGGAGGGTTGCTGTAAGCATGAAATGAAAGAGAGTGGAGTTGCATTAAATGAGCACTTAACTTGGGAGAGTTCAGATATCTGTGTGTTTGGCAAAAAGAGGAGGGGGTGACCAAAAAACAGGAAGAAAGGGAGGGTGAGAGAGAATTTAAAAAATTGGTGATTCTACCCATTTCTCTGCCCAGTGTACCAGCCTGAGAGTGAGGCGGGACAGGAACTGATAATACATGTGTGCAAAGTCATATTGTTCCTAATTGTACATAATACTGCTTAGCAGACGCACACATACGACCTGAGATTTTCAGACCATTTAAGGGACCATCAGGGGAATTCTGGCTAAATACAAGTTTCTGCCTCTTCCACGCTGCCTTCAGAAAGAAGCTAACCCTAAGTAAGAGAACACGGGACTTCTCTACCATAATCAGCACAGGCCCTGGAGCACAAAAACTGCTTAATAAATGTTGGCTGCTCTGATGATGATTGTAATTGTCATCATCATCGTCATCATCCTCCGGGCACGTCTCTCCACATACTAGCCCCCTAGGGAGGTCCGATCTTCCTTCCAAGCTGGAGAGAGCGGAGCTCGGAGCCAGCCTTATCTGTAGCGTGCAGGCAGATGATGCCGATTTTCCACCTTGGAAAAAGGCTGGGAAGCACCTGCTCGGGGCACCTAATTCCCGCAAAGAGCGCGGCCCAGACCCCGCAGCCCGCCTCCCGTGCCCGCCCGCCCAGAGCCGGTCGGTGCCCCGCCACCCCCAGACGCAGCCATTTGCTGATTCAGATAGAAATAAATGTTCACGACTGAATCCCGGCGAGCGCCGTCAGCTTGCGGGCGAGGCGCAGCTGCAGCTGGGATGCGGCTGAGGGTCGGGCCGTAAAACAACGTGCTGAAATGGCTTTGGGGGGCCCTTCCCCCAGCGCTGCCAAGGACCTGCTCAAACTGTCCTGCGCGCGGCCCGTGTCCGCCCCCGGAGTGGAATGACCGGTCCTCCTCCACCTCTTCTCCAGCTGCATCTCTCACAGCCCTTGGCAGTTTCGACCTCATCTTGTTTCCAGCTGCCTTAACCCATTTCACCTGGCACGCGGTGAGAGGCAGCCAGGCGCCCGGGCGGCTATTCTCTGGGCGTTACCGGGGTTCAGATCCAGCTTCTGCTAATCCTAGCCATGTGCCCTTGCCAAGCTGTCCAAGCTTGGTGGGCCACATGTGACTCGGTTTTTTTTTAAAAAAATGGGAACAAAGGCTGTCTTGTAGATAAGACAGCCATGGATGGCCGTCTGGGCTGCCCACTGCAGCACTCCAACTCCGGGGTCTCCATGCCCACAACGCGGAGGTTCAACGCAAGGCTCATTGTTCATGTATCTTTCCACGGAGCTTATAGTTTACGATTTGTTCCCCAGGTGTCCATATCCTTTACTAACTTTTTGTTTTTAGCAATACAACAGTAATCCATACAGCAACAACTATTTCATAATGAGGAAAATCTCATTAATTTTTAAGGTAGAAAGAAATAAAGTATTAATTTCTTATCTGCCATGTAGAATGAGACAGACACAATTTGCTTATGAAAGGAAAGAGGCATACTTTTTAATTGATCTACGTAGAAAACTAAAAGTAAACTATTCATTTAAATAAGATTCACTATCTAATAAACATTGAAGGGAATGTTTTTCCTAAATAAAAAGTTTGTGACTCCTAACAAAATTAAATTGATGACACTGTTCTTTTTTGGAGGGTGGGAGAAACCATTTGTTGAACTTTAATGTAGTAAATAAAATTCT